CATCCGACATCACTGTTATGGTCTAGGCCAGGGGAGGGAAGAAAATTCAGGACCTTGACCCTAAGTGATGAAAATATTAGGTAAATCTAGCCTAAGCTTAGGGTGCTCTTTGCTAAGTTTATTTTAGCACCCCATATCAAGGTTCGGTGTTTTCTTGCCACAAATATCACAGGGTCGCGAGCAGCTTCATCATGCATTTTGCGGATATGTACCCGAAGAGTTTTGGGCTGGCCGAAGGATTTACTGCACTAAGTGCAAGCAAAATTCTTCTCGCCTCGGTGTACCGCAGATTAATAGTGCTCCAAGGTCCTAAGACTTTCGCATAAGAAACCGTAATTCGGCTCATTACAGTTCCAGCCTCGAATCCGGTCGTATATACTCCTCTCGTAGTACAACAACATCGGTTCAGTGGGAAACCGCTTTTCACAGAGAACCCGGCGGCAAGCCCAGGGCCCACGGTCTGGTAATGCCTACCTTAGTACTTATCATCAATCTGTTGTTGCTGAGGATTGACGGCAGGAACCTCTCGGGTTTCGTAGTCTTCTGCGATATGCTCGTGCCCGTAGTGGCAAAGGAAGAGGCCAGCGCTGATAAAACTCTGTGGGCACTCCCTACATGAGCGCCAAAATATCACAGATTCATGAGCTTTTTCTCTTCGCAGCTTTTGTCAGGCAACACTATTCTCTCCCGACATCCCGCAGCCTGCCCAGCTTGCAGTGCAAGAATCATTCATTTTGCAACCTATGCGCACAACTCGTCTTCTCTTGTCACGAAGGCATCGCGGATGATGGCACTGTCGATGAGAGTGCCAAATCAGAGGTCGAGCTCTCTATTCTGATAATATAAATATAACAACCTACAACGATTATTAGATTATTATAGTACAAGTGGCTGATATAGAGTACAGTAGTTTAAACTCACTCCCATTTTCATCTTATACTCCTTTCGTCCCTCATAGCAGTCCAAGTCCTTAAAGTCATCTAGCTATTATTTAGAAAGGAAATATAACTTCGCCTAATACTCATCAGAGCGTCATACAATACAATCAAGAGTATACAAAAACTAGGTTCTCTCTGCCGGAATAAGCTCACAGCCACAAGTCTCAACTGCAAATAACACTTCTAGCCCACAAGTATACAAAGACAAGAATACCGATCATAATAATAAGACCTTGATAGCATAATAGAACCAGAGCGAGGAATATCAGTACTACATTCTAGTGAAACTTTACAAAGATGCAAAGCTGGATATAAGCTTGTGATCTCCAGAGGCTCTGGGACTGAAGTTCGGGCCTGGTCGGGTCCTTGACGTCTGCATTGGTAGAGATTGTCAAGGTCGGGAAGGAAACGTTACTTTCCGTGTTCAGGTCTGAAGCCTGGGGATTTGTGATACAGCTACTTGGGAAATAGCATTTTCGTACTCAAGCATCCTGAACAGCTGGCTAGCCTTCATCCTAAACTGTCCTGCTTGCAGCGCTGTGAAACGATGAAACGGAACGATCGTAACCGTAGACTGGCATGATTCTAAAGAATGCACAAAACTTGTCCGTCAACGAGCTGTTAACAAAGTCTGATGAGGAGAAATGGCCCCGCTCACAGGCTGCCGAATCCAAAGGAGTCCAAGGAGGCGGCCAAGAGTCGTGGTAGTTACAGTAAGTCCTGCTTTCGGGAGGGTCCAGGCCCTTTGTTCTGGATACTGCATCGTTTTTTGAGAGTGGTTTTCTCACGAACACGGAGACGTCCACTAGCAACAGGTGGTCGTATCACGGTACGATAACAAAGCTTACGAGCTTCATCGCTTATGGCAACAACGCCGAGAGTCACTACCAGGCATCCAACAGCCGTGGCAGACTTTGTCCTCCACAGACCCCCCTGTCTATACCTGACGCCTTTCTCAATCTGGCTGGTCATCATCGCCCCAGACGCTCCAGTCTACGTCCTCGCTTTCATGTAGGTTCACTACACGACAGTGTCTATTCTTGCATCCTTCCCGGAGCTTGGTCCTGTGAAGTGCGTTCTTCGTCCACGAGTACTCTGGCTTCCTGACCTCAAGTGCCCCAGCCAGTACACCGTATCCTTCTGGAGAAGGAGAATTCGCTCACAAACAGGCTATAGAAACACCGACACCAAAACGCCCTATCATAGCATTGTACGGTAACAATGCTTGCATGGACCGAGGCTTAATTTGGCTTCCTCAATTCCTTCGTCCGAGGGCCTAGGTGTGACTTCCTCAATTGTTTTGCCCGAGGGGTGGGGGTTGGGACAAAGAGCAGTAAGCCACTTGGCCTTTCCTGCGAGCTTCCTCGGAACCGATTCCATATAAGCAGCTATCTCAATTCTTCGTTTGTGGGCTAGAAGTGTTATTTGCAGTTGAGACATGATGCCAATCACGCTGCTCTCTCCATAGAACCAGCTGCATTTGGACAGGGAGGACTCTCATAACCACAAATCTCGAATGTGAGTTCTGCTAGCTTCTTCTTTTGGCAATTTTCGGGTTTGTAGATCACCCAGCGTGAGAACTGATGTTAATGACGCGCCATCCTTTGAGAAGCCTTTGCGATACTTTTCCACAACATGGAACGCGAAAAGGAATGTGATCCGCAGTGGTTGTCGCAAGTTGTCAGGTGAGAACCAAATGAGTCACTGTGTTTGATGGGCAGAATTTCGCTTTCGATAACGAAAACTCAACTCGCGGCGCTCGTTTTATGAGTATTACATCAGAGTCTGCACAGAGATTGAGTCACTTACTTCCTTCGAGGCGAGGCACCCACTTACCAGTTCCTCCCTTGTTGTTCTGTGTATCCATGCGCCAGTCGTTGGTAGTAAAGCAAAGCCGATGCGCACGTCATCAATCTCGGGCTTCCTACATCTCAGAACTAGCTTATTCGTGTGAATGAGTCCAGTCATTGCCTGAGTATGCATATGACGTCGAAAAGCTGACACGGCATCATCGCTTGACGTGAAACTACTTGTAGTGATGTAATTCCTGAATAGCCTTGTGTCGATTTTCAACTCATTGGACAATGGCCTTACCCATAGAGTCTCTTAAACTATGTAAGACTACTGTCGTCACAGCTGAACATCTCAAGCCTCATGGATTAATCTTGGTGGAGTCGATCACGCGAATGTGTTGTCGGATATCCCTATGGGGTTTCATTCTCCCTGCCGATCGTAGCTTTTACTTGTGGTCTGTCGGCGGGAATCGGGAAAACCTCGACTTCGAATTTATGTTTTCGCCGCGAACCTCTAACTTCCAATAATGCCAGACTTGTCAAAGTGCCGAACGAAAAGGTTGATGATAGATGAGCAAGAGTGGGAGTGGAAACTCTGAGAATACGGTCGCTCTAGCTGATCCCAAACAGAAACTTGCAAGGAAGGATGAAGGATGGGAAAGGTGACGAAAGATAGTGTTTTGTTAGTTATCGATAACGGGTCGCCTGTTGATTGTCTCCTTCGTGTCGGGGGAGGGAAATCTGTCTTGTCTCACGCATGCGTATCGGCAATGGGTATGGTATGTTGACATGGTCATCAAGTGTAGCTGAAAGCTAGCACGGGTGGAAGCGCCGTAGATTCGAGTCAGCCATCCGGTCTGCAGTCGTCGATGAAGATGATAAGTAAATAAAAGAAAGGTGCGATGAGAAGATGGGAAATCTCTGCGCAGGAGGTCGGGAGATGAGAGATGAATCAGGCTTAGGTTCGAGCATTATAACCTCATTGCTGGTCACAACCAGTAGCCATAAGGCGAACTAGGAGTCGAAATCCTGGGCTCAGCCCATTTTCCCTGCGACACATCGTATTCCTGGTGACGCCAGTAGTCTTGGAGGTATAGTCAATTGCCTGGGGCTCGATCCTCTTGCCCTGCGAGGCTGCGATGAATCGTATCACTGGCTAGGAGAGGAACTCATGCCGTTGATCCTAAAAGATAAAAAGACTTCAATAATTTAGTATAAGCTTAAGGCAAGTCTATAATACGTTATGAATACCTTTTTGTTAGTTTATTTTGACCCTGTAGTAGATTGCCGGGTGAGAGAATTGCCATCACGTTGATTCCTTGATCGTGGTCTGGCTGCCTCTCTCTCCTGCTGGTTCCGATCACTGTGTATCGATATGACTGGTGAATGCATGTTGAACAGAAAATCTTTTAAGATAGTATGGTTGACTAAAAGCTCCTTCTTCTGGGTCTTCAGCCTGCAGAACAACTTGCTTGATGTTGGAAGTAGTGCTTCCGACATAGCTATCAGGGCCCAGCAAGAATGCTTTTGCGGGATAGAGCTGCTTCATTCCCTATTTGACATTCTTATAGCGCCTCTTCTGCTTAGGGGCAGTCCTAAGAGGGCCGCTGCGTTTCCGAGAAGGGCGCTGTGAGGTTGCCGTGAGGCGAGCGACTAGAGAGGATACCGTGAAGCGAATGAGTAAAGAGGCTGCCGGATGGTTGTTGAAGCGATGATGGGAAGCATCCATAATATCTTCAGGGAACTGTCCCTTTCCCCATCTTGGTATTGTTCAAGTTCAGAAATCAGGTCGCCATCGGCTGAGAGGGACTGTAGAAGTCAGTATTGTAAACCTGTCCAGAGTGGAATTACCTCACTGTTATCGCCTGTCATCGCTGAAAAACAGCAACCTCCTCTCGGCGCGGCTGCTTGGGGGAAGTCTCAAGGAGAGACTCGTTTGCAGGATGCTTGCGGGCCATGGGATTCGTTTGGTAGGAATAGAGGGCTCGGTCTCCAGTCCCCCGCTCTCATTGACTCTGGTCGCGTCTGCAAGGCATTTGTGAGAAATGGGGAAGAAAAGCTGTTTCTCATGAAGACGCTTTGGATAAAGTGCTGGCTTCATGCCACGCCAGGCATCTGTAAAAGCGTAGGTTACCAAGTAAATCTCGATGTCGCCAAAGTTATCGTTCCGCTGATTCGGGTTATTTATGTGGCGAGTGGCGTGAAACAGAAGATCGTACAAACTCTCAAGGGTGCCAAGAGTCCAGTGCTTGGTATTTATATCGCCGAGTCAGATGTTGGCATATTCACCGAGGAGACGACAGGTATTGGCAGGGACCTTTGCAATCTTCTCGGAGAGTACCGTCTCCCAGTGATGGATGCGTATTCCAGTATCCAAGAAAACCGCTTTGGTGCTGCACTCGAAACTGGTATTGTTTGCTCTCTCGAGAATTTCAGATGAGGAAAGTAGAGGCATGAAGGGATGGTGAGGAGCTGCGCGCATGAGTAGTGATTCTTGCATTGTAAACTGAGAAAACTGTAAGATTTTCTAAACAAGAGATATATCACTAGTTCATAGCTGTAAAGAGAAAAGGCCTATGAATCTATACTATGGTGTTGGCGATGAAGCAATCGCGATGCTTAAATGTAGGTGGTTCACTGAGAATACAGTGGTTATCTAGATCAGCTGTCGTCTTGAGCTGCCCGTTCAGCCTCATTCCTTTCTCTCCACATAGCAGCCCTATCGGCTTGTCGCTCAGCACCTGCCCAAGTCCTCCCTTGTAGGTGTTTCAAACATAGCTGTTTCCCATCATCGGGGTAGTACAGCCAAGTAGCCCATTTCGTCCACTGCTTGTCGTCAGCAAAGGCTTTCACATGGCAGCAACTCCCGATGTTCGCCTAGCATAGGCTGAAAATACACTTACCAGGCCTTCCTTCATCTGAGCGCGCGCTCTTTGTCCAATCTTGTCCTCAATAAAGTCTCCTCGGAGCATAGCCAACCGTGAGGGAAACACTCTCTCAAGGTAATGTGCTGTTGATGCAAGATGAGGTTTGTCATGCCAAAAGTAAATCGGTGTCAAGGGTATCTTGACACCAGGATGTGTCGGATCTTCGTATTTTTGTGTGAGGGATGATGAGAGCTCTCGCAGGACGGGATGTTGTTCGGATGTGGCATGTGAGAGCATACGAATAGCAGTTAAGCATATATATTTGATGGGGGTTTCTGGACGTGAATCGTATGCTTTCATGATTTGTACAAGAGGCGCCACGGGGAAGTCTGCAACCAAAGCCCAGTCATGTTGCTGCACCCAGACAAAAGGAGTTTGAGTTAGTCTCAAAGCTGATCTGACTGCCAGACCAAACCCTAGTCGTCTTGAAGGCTCTATAAAGGTGACTTTCTTGTCGCTGGTTTGCGATATCATGTAGTCAACAGTGTTCTGGGGATTGGGACTACCATACTCGGCCGTAGCACGCCGTTGGGTGAACTCAGCACCGACATGGCGATATTTCGTGAGTATCAGTTCCTTGACATTCTTCTTATATTCGTCAAGATCTGCTGCCTGCTGAGGCGTGACTTGTCCTTTCTTCAATCGCGCTGTAGGTACTATCTGATCAAAAGTGTCGAAAACAACAATAACATTACATAATGTCAGAGCATGACAATGCTTTTCAAATGACTCGAGGACCGCTGAGACAAGCTCCGTTGAAGGTGCGGATGGAGTGGGGGAAGTTGTGATTATGACGGTGACCAATTTTGGCACGGTCGCATCTTGGGTCATTTCGCTGCGCTTGAATGGCGTGAGGTGTCGCTGTCAATTGGACTGGGCATCAGCAAGCATTTACTGTTGGGCTGTGTTTGAGATCTGAGTCAAGGTAATCGATAGCGGTGAGATTGGGCTTGGATGTGATGGGACGGGCCGCTTGGCTTCTGACGCAGAAAATTTTGCGTGTCGCACCATGACGCGATAAGTCTACGGCTAACGAAGAGCAAGTCATCACACTCCTACAACGATCGCAAACATAAACTGTCGCAATTGAGTGCGACATGATCTGAACCAACCTTCTCATAGCACTCAAAAAAAGGAGAATAACAGTTAATGCAAAGGTAGAGCACTGATCGTTGCTGTCTCGACGCGCGTCCAGATAACACTTGTGTAACATTGACGTGCAGAAGTGACTGCAACCTCAAATGGCATGCATCACCAGCCAAGAAACCCAAGACCAAAACTCAACGGCTGAGCAAGGCTCGTTTAACAAATAGCAAAACACTAAAGCAAGTCATTGAAGCGTTTCATCTCGAATTCCTTGCTTTAACGAAGTGATAGACGCCCGTCAATCTGGGAATACCCGGGTTTTCGAGACCCAGCCACGCCCGATGATCCCTGGAAGCCAAGGGATGCATCTAGCCGCTGTGTCAGTACGTGGATCAATTACGAGTACAGAAGAACACTCCGATGCAGGTGAGTTCAACGTGTACTCGAATGATAGATACGAAGCCATGCGCGTTGCTGCATATTTCTTCGTAAAAATAGAAAGGCACTGTCTTGACTGTGCTATGCAGTCTGGGGAGGAAAGAAACCCAAGGCGTTGAGTACAAGGGACAAAAAGGCTTAGGTGAGTTTGATACAGATTTAATGTGCCCTTTGCTGAGTTTATTTTGACATCCTATCTGTCTTCCAGGTCTGTCTGACGAGGGCAGTGGCTGGTGTTGTCTTTCAGTGGGTCGGACCCCTGGAGCTAAGAAAACTCCCCAACCTCAAGAAATTTACTCCTTGGCTGTACCAAAGCAACCCAAGCCGAACCACCAACCTCGCGATTTCCAGCCTTCGCCTTTCCAGACCTCACTAAAACATGAATCAGTTCCTGACATTGTCGGTGTAGATTCTCATTCCTTTCACTCTCTACCCGCTATTTTCATGTCTTGTTTGTAAGACATTCTCATTCCAATTTTTTTGTTCTTTGTCTTCTTTCACCGCATTTCACCCCCCGCATAATGGCTACCATGGCGGCTCCCCATCAGCCAAGATACAACCTGGAAGATCCGGGCTATCCAGTTGAGCCTCGCACTGCTCGCGACGCCCGAGAGGCAGCTCGTGCTGCGCGAAATGGCCAGAGCCCGAGATACAGACGCACTCAATCGCCCGAGCAACTCGATGACTTCCGCCCTCAGAGTGAAGAGTTCGACATGCGGTCGCCCACCTCTGACGTGGCACTCCAAGACGCTATGCTCGCACAAGCACAACAGCAGCAGCAGGTGAGTTTTTCACGCTAGAGAACACTGTTCTTCTGCAATATCTTTTCTCCGCGACAGAGCCTCGTAATTAACCTTTTCCTTTTAGCGTGTCGTTCCGGTTGGTCAGGTTTCCCGTAATGCTGGGCAGCGAAGACAACCGCCGCCTGGTCAAGGTCCAAACAACAACGCTCCCAGAGGTCCAGGTCCAGGTCCAGGTCCTCAGCAACCAATGCCTCCAACTTACCCTGGCGGAATGGACGGAGGTCCTCAGCAGCAGCAGCCCAATGGTCCTAGACAAGATGGTCGTTACAGACGACAATCGCGCCGCGCTTCGGAGTCTGAACCCCGACCTCATGGAGAGTCACCTCCCCGAAATGGACCAAACACCCAGCAGAGCCGTGTTTCTCAATCCATGGCCTCAGAACAGCATCAGCAGCGTCGCGCGCCTTCACCAGACCGTCTAGCAGTCCCTGGCAATGACATCAACCGTCTCAACAGTCCCTCCATTCAAAAGAGCGTTCTTCTTCCTCTTGAGCAGAAGATTCACGAGTATGATCATCTCATGGGTGAAGCTCAAGCCCAAATGAACCAACTCGACGATGAGATCCGCGCTCTTCAGGAACGACGTCGCCAAGCCGAAGACCGCTTCATTGAAGCCAAGTCCAAGCATGATGATTACTCACGTCAACATGATCAAGTAGGCAAAGCTCTGCGCGGGGAGCTCGTGCAGCAGGCCCCACCACCCGCAGTCCGTCAGCCCGTTCAGCGCATGGAGAGCGTCGACAGTTTCGAACATCGACCCGTCAGCGCGCAAAGCTCTTTTCATCAGAAGCCTAAGAAGGGGGGCTTGCGGATGAGCTTGTTCAATCGAAGCAATTGACTAGACAAGGGTTGCTTATGAAGTTATGCGTTAATGACTGGGATATTGCTGGATATGGGAAAATGACTTGATTTATTTAGTTTTTCGAAACTTCTTGGTCGTCCGCGAAAAAGGACTTTTAGCTTATTTGTTTAATATGCTTGGATGTACATAGATTGAGATTGAGGACGTAATTTCGCACATGAGCATTCGATACATCAAAAGATCTTGCTTTTTCCAACGACTTTGGGTTGGTTGTTTTTGAGTCTCAGTGATGACGTCAGTGAACCTTCAATCGTAGTAGGACGTATAACTGTTTTGTACACAGCAACACTGCTCCTATCTGGAATACCCACCGAAACGCCATCATTCATCCATAATCAGTGACAAGATTGCAGTCCAGCTACTTTTCACGCCCAGTTTTATTGTAAAGCCTGCAACTCCTGTTGCCCTCTGTTCACTTCTCAACGCTGACTTGTTCATCGCCTACATGCTCATAAAGCAATGTCTCAAACTCAAGTGCTTGCCCAGTCAAAGCATCAATCACCCTCTTGATTCCCTTGGGTCCCATCTCAAAGTAAAGGTCATGTAGCCGACGAAAACGCGATCTCGTCAAGCTCATCATATTGGGTCGCGGAAAGATCAACCTTTTCACACCTGATGTTCTTTGATATATGAATCTTCGAATGACGTCAATAAGCCTTTAACCCCGTGATTGTCTAGGTTGAAGTTCTTATGAGGGTTTAATTCCCCTCTAAACTCTATTTAGAGTAGTTTCGTTTCTGTTCCGGGCATGAGATGTAGATACACCGTCGAGGACTGATCTTGCAAGACATGGATGTCTTGGGAGACAGCCACCCTACACCAGTTTGGGCTTCCGACCAGGAGGAGTTCCGGTTCCACGTGTCAATAGCCTCCCGCCGTCTCAACACGACCAAACGTTGGCCCCATAAGGCTGTAATTTCCTGTGCTTAATGGAAATAATTACAATAAAGCAATGTGTCAAGGATTTCAAAGTTTCGCGATCTGCAATCTCAATCTTTTTTCAGCGTAGCCATTGCAGTCTGCCCTACGGATTCCAAATGGAAACGGTGACGAGCGCTAAAAAAGTCGGCGGGGCACTTGAGCGGAACGCGTCTCAATTGCGGTCGATCTACCGCATTGACTTGTTATCAAGAGCCTTTTCAATCAGACTCACTCAAGGCAGTCAACAAAAGAACCTTTGACGTGTCAGTTCACGACTCATGTATTCTAAGACATCAATAATTTACATCAAGATAACTTCTCCTGAAGAAATTGCGGTGCAGAACCCTCTCCTCTGATTCCGAACAATCCTAGTCAATTTCGGAATGTGGAGCATTTTGCTTGCCGGGGAGCTGCAATGAAGAATCCGGGGACTCGGTAGCCCCTGAAATGGGCGCGGGTCTCGTAAATCCGGAGATCATGAACAAAGAAAGGAGAGGCTTTTGAGTTTGGTAAACCCGGTTACATTGTCTCAACAAGGTAAGTCATTCATCAACCCTTTCTTTCTGACTCTGCAGATGCTGAGTCGATTCAATAGAGCTGACACTGATCGTCGCTGATTGGTCTTTTCGGGAAGCGGGATCCTCTTCCCGAGAGAACGGTTAAACATCGTCAACCGATAAACATTCCTCTTCTCAGCAAAAGAAACTTCAGACGTTATGTGAAACGCACGACTCGCTGCCACGTTTTGACACAAGATGATCATCCTACTTATCAAGTTTGACAAAGACTTTTAAAACGATCTTCAGTGAGGAAATGACTCGAGTCGGCAGCTGAGAGGCCCAATTCTACACCAAATCCTTGGCGAGTGTCGATCGTCTTCTAGCGTAGAATACTACTGCAAGCCTCATCCGCATCTAATTCCCATGACATCCCTCCTGGGCGCGGACTTGTGCCTGTGCTTCTTATCACCGGAACGATGCTGCAAGATAGAGTTGTGATTGGCGATGATTCCTCGGAGGGACGGACTTGACCCATGCAAGTGGCTTCGTGCTTTCCAGGCATTAGCTGGCATTAAAGGCTCACCCTCCCCTTGAGTCGTGACCCCTATGCAGGCGTTTGTTTTTCGTATCGCTTTTTGTTTCTGTAGCCATGGGCGGTGCTACCTCCTTCGCCGCCGAGGCATTTACACTGCTCTCTATCGGCATTTCGGTCATTGGGCTGCGAACGTTTGCGAGGATACGACAAGTTGGCGTGAGGAACTTTGAGGCCGACGATTACCTCATGCTGCTAGCGATTATTCCGTATACGATCGAGACGGCGCTTGCCTATACTGTTGGAGCAAAGTTTCATGGATTGACCAACAGTTCGATGACGGATGAGGAGCGCAAGGCTCTGTCTCCGAATACTGAAGAATACGGATGGAGGCAGGTCGCGTGTGACCCTGCAGCAGACAAGAGTAACTAATTTTGGCAGGGTTGGGGGATCTAAGATTCAGATCGCTGGTTGGATAACCTACGCCACGGTGTTGTGGGTTATCAAGAGTGCGCTATGCGCCTTTTACTTTCGACTCACGGTAAGTTGAACACGGCATCAAAACTGATGTCAGGGCTAAGTTCGCCAGGCTGGTCTCACCGGTTACAAAACTCGTATCTACATCGGCTTCGGCTTCATCGCCTCTACCTACGTCGCCATTGTCTGTTGCATTCTATTCAGCTGCCATCCATTCAACCGCTTTTGGCAGATTTATCCCGACCCAGGCAGTACGTAGAGACACAGCTGGAATAAGAGGCAGACAAGATACTAATTCTTTGTAGACTTCTGCCACCCTGCGCTGTCCAAGCTCTACATCTTCATCATCGTCAGCCTCAACATCCTGACTGACATTTACTTGCTCGCGATCCCCATTCCGATGCTTTGGGGCGCCCGAATTCCCAAAGTGAAGAAGTATGGGTTGCTTGTGCTCTTCTCTGGTGCGGTATTTGTGATGGTTGCGGGTTTACTACGATGTATCCTCATCCTCAAGGTATGCGACTTTCCAACACTACGGAGGTTATGATGAGGAGTACTGACATCCCCAGAACCCCAAGACGGGCCCTGAAGAGGGAGCTAGTTGGGCTGTGCGAGAGTCCTTCGTTGCCGTCGTGACAGCTAACCTTCCCAGTACATGGGGATGGATGCGCCAAAAGCTCAAACCCATCTTCGGCTCACTTCTCTCGTCTAACAACGTCAGCTCAAAGTACAAAGGCGGTCCCGAACCTGGAAGTATCATGCTCGCCGACGGAAATGGATCAAACTGGAAGAGGAGTAATGGAAGGTCTATCAGATCAACGACGGGGCTTGGAAGCGTGAATGATAGGAATGTCTACATTCACGGAGGAGGCGGTGAGGCTAGTTCAGACGAAATTATTCCATCGATGCCTGGAATCACAAAGGAAGTTGAGTTTACGGTTGAGGAGTCGGATGCAAGAAAATGATGATCGATGCGATGGTGTTTGGTTCAGATATGTTATATACCCAGTCATGAGATGACTTAATATGCAATAGATAAGACTTGCGTTCCATGACAGTTAAGACTTGTGACCCCGAGAGCTTGAATCAGCAGAGAAAACTTCATTTCAATGATTCCTTGGGTGATGTAACATGGACCTGCTAGGTGCCTCGACTAATACCGCCCAGGATGGACTCAGCAGGTACTGGCACCGTTTTCTATCTGAACACATGAGTTTGCAACTGCTTGCCATTCTCATCATACCTCTTCGGAATGACGTTCAAAATGCCATCAACGTCCCTCGGCTCATAGTCCAACATCGACGCAGCCAAGACCATGATATCCATTCCAAAATTCTCCTTGATCCAATGCGCAAACATGTCCATTCCAGCGACGGCACCACCCGCAGTCCAAATGTTTCCATCGACAATCCATTTCTTCTCATCAGTCCACTTGACAGTAGGGAATTTCAGTCTAAGAGGCTGGATAGCACCGTGGTTGACTGTCGCATTCTTGCCGTCGAGTACTCCTGCAGCAGCAGCAACTCCGGCACCAGTGCAAGTGGTGAAGAGAAGCTTTCCAGCTGCAACGTGCTTTCGGATGAACTCAGCGTACTTGGGATGAAGCTCGAAGTTCGTGGGGTCCGGACCTCCGAGCAGAAGAATACCGAGGTCAGGGCATTCATCAACGGTTGTAGTCGGGACAATTGGAATATTGCTTGTTTGAAGAACAAAGGTTTCGCGAGTGATGCCGATGTGATGAAAGACAAACTCTGGGGCGCGAGAGATGGTGTCTTGCTCGATCTTTAGATGACCAGATAGAGCCTCGATGTATGGTTTGGTGGCAGAGTGGAGGAGGTCGGTCGGGCCCAAGACATCTATAGCTTGATAGTCGTAGACAAGTGCACCTACGTGAATGGGAGCCATCTTGCCAGATTGGGTGGAATGAATTTAGAGTGATGACGGATGTTGATGGTGTCATCCGAAGCCAATAGGTGTGATTCTACGATCCTTTTATAGTGGCAGCACGTCATTGTGTAGTATGGTAAGAGTTTGAGATGAAACACATAAGTTCCGATAGCTGTCGCATCAAGTTCGACCGGTTTGCGATATATCCGAGCTGGAGTGGAAGTAAGAGGACCACGGTGGAGATTTGACCAGGGGCGTATCCAACAGGAATACAGCCACTCAATTAGATTCAAAGAGGATAGCCTATTCAAGCATGGTCGATTGAGATACCTCCATGGCGCGTCGGAGCGAAAATGAAAGGTCGAGATCTACCAACTTTACAGGCAAAGAATGCGTGACAGGTTCGGATGTAGGAAAAAGTCCATGTCATTAAACACCATATCTATCAAACAAACATCCCAATACCCAAACAAGTTAGAAATCAAAACATGCCCACTCTATTTACCCGTGATCGTTCATTTGTGCGTTATAGAAATGTGCTCCTCATGTTGTTGTGGATGACATCTGGTGCATCAGTGCTTGTGCATCTGGGACTACCCCGAGTGCGGCCATTTTGGCCTCTGCGGTACGCAATTGGATTTCAGCATTGCTTAAGTTTTCGAGTGACCTTTTCCATTGTCGAACGCTTTCAAAATATGCCCGTTCCGCGTGGAATTGTTCTGGAGTGCGATGCGGAGCTGTACGTGCTTGGATATATTGGTGGGTTTGAGGTACAGGGCCTGGTGCCGCGACTCTTGGTGCCTCAGGAGGGTCATATGTCGCTCTGTATGGCGCCGCGGCTGGGACTGAGTCCGGGGCTAGTGCTTGGGCTGGTGCTGGTGCTAGCGCTGGCGGTGGCGCGGTGTTGTATGAGTATGGCATGGCGTAAGGCGTGGTTGCTGGCGTAGGCCGAGTTTCCGGCAAAAAGGCCGTCGTGTATGAAATTGGTGGAGCTTGCTGTGGAATCGCAGCACGTTGGAGTCTCCATTGTTCTAAAGCCGGAATATTTAGCCCAGGAATGACAATGTATAAAAGGTATCTTACGATACTCGTCCATAGTCTCTTCGATCTTTTTGCGGCATGGTTCCTTCAGCATGGGATTATCTTGTAGCATCCCTGTGCACGTCGTGGCTGGCAACGACAAGTCGCTCATGTTACTTGGGAACTGAGCCATGATTCAAAGTAGGTGATAGTGATGATGCTGGGAGGAGAAGAAAGTAACGAGCGTAGATAGCTGTATTCATACATGGCGCTCACAAAGATGACAGCTCATCGCCGCCCCTTTCATACAAGTGTTCCATTTTCCTGGAATGAACAAAAGAAGTAACATTAAAGACTCATTCAGTAGCCTTTCTGATACATTCACCGAAAAAAGATGAAGAGAACGGCTGCCCTTGCATTCTTTCAGAAGTTGGAGTAAGGATAATCACGTTAAAGCTCCTGTTACGCAACGCACAAGCTCTTAACCTAACTTGTACCTACTTTATCCCACATCTCTTCTCGATAGTACTGTTCACCAATCTTTCCCTCTTGAGATCCCAGCAGATCGCCTCTCTACCCCACGGGTCAAATCTTTTGTCATAGCGGCCCCATCTTGTCCATATAATTCCATGATTCCCCTGTTCTTCATTGCGCCGCTCTGCGGCATCAAACCTCCCACTTCGTGATTTCCACAAGTTTCTGATGCTTGCCACTTCGGTCTTAAACCATTCGGCCATCAGCTCCATATCGACTAATAAACCCTCGATTGGAGGGAAGTGCAGGAGGAAGTCAGCAGTAACAAAACCCCCAAGGATATCTTCCGCGAGTTTGTGTTGTCTTCGGTCGATTTCTCGTACAAGTAGTGCAACGCGTGACGCCCGACGGCTCATCTCGCGGAGACGAACAGCAGCGATGTCGCTCAAAAATGGCGCGACGTATCGTAGACGGTTGACAGCCTGAATCTGTTGTCCCCAGGGTATGTCGACGTGATAATCCGCACTGAGGACTCGGGTGATTCTTTGATTCATTTCGTCCATAGCCTCGCAGGCCTTATCCAAAAGATCACTGTATTCCACTACTGACCAGAGAGATCCGAGTTTGTTGAGTCTCTTCTGGCCCAAGTCTAGGTCATGATGATGGAAAGCGTTTTCAGTGAGGCGCTTTGCTGTGTCATTGCCGACCTGGCTCAAACCCCATTGCCTGGGAGTCGGATGTTTAGAAGGGCGGCACATCCTCGTAGAACTCGAAGTGGCTCGCTTTGGATTTGAAGTTGGATTGGCGTTGTGAGACGAGATTCTCGAATAGTGCTCGCGAAAGACCTTGTCGACGTAATCCTCCGGAACATCATCAGGGACATCAGACAGGTCTTGTGGCCTACCTGGGGTAGGAATGGGGCGATGATCACCTAAGTCGTAGACTAGAGATGGAAACATGCAATCCAGCCTTTCCTGGTCAGACCCAAAGGAGGCATTGTGTGTGCGCTGGTCTCGTAGCAAAAGGTCAAAATTGAACCATTTAACAGTGACTCCAGACCAGGCTAGATCTGGAAACCAAAAGACTAGCGTGTTTCTGGTTGTACTTTGCCAGATGAGGTCACTTATTATGTCTTCCGCAATGATTTCAAGCCGACTGAGAGGCGGATCAGAATTCATGATTGTCCTAGGCTGGCGAGGACGGGCTGTCGGCGATGGAGTATCAGTTTCCTAAGGAGGCATTCCGAGGATGGTTGAGTCGGGTACACCAGATTCAATATAAGCATCCCATTCATCGTCTGGGATTGTCGGAAGAGAGTTGTGAGGAGAAATAAATGAACCGGAGCTTGTTGACCAGCGAAATTGGGTACTAGTCCCTCGAGTGAACTTAAACTGTGGAGGACCATGATTCGCTATTTCCTGCAGGTCATTCAGGGCTGATCGTAGTACATAGCCAAGGTCCATAAGGAACCAATGTTCGGGCAGGTATGTCCCGTTCGAAGATGTCTCCCAGGGCTTGTAGACAGAGACGGAATCGTAGTCAGACATGCCAGTAGAGCCTGCATCGAGTGTAGCTTCAGGATCAGGTAAAAGCCCAGGTTGGCCCTTCCAGCGCATTGGCTCAAGCGCTGCTTCTCCAAAGAGCACCACGCGGCTGACGGTTATCTCCATTACGGCAATGTCGATGGCCTTTTCATACCAGTCAACTGCCCGAAAGGGCTTATAGGGGTAGATTTGGCGGTACAAGTAGGTGAAAATACCAATTTTTAGCACAACGAGGAAACAGTTGAATAAGACTGAGGAGATGGACGTGCGAGTGTTTGGGCGAAGAGAAGTGATGCGGTCATTGTTGGGAGGTTCTTGATCATGACTCAAGACCAAGGAGTCTACTACTTTATCCTCACACTCTACATCTTCCCCAGTTGCAAGATCCTTGACCGTTGGGTCATCTCGCATGAATCCCTGGTAGAATTCGTTCTCAGCCTGTGAATCCTCCAGTGGAGATATGGGTCTCGGGCGATGTCTTGGCGATTGAATAGAATCGTCGCTCCGGTCGTTTCCTGTGACCTGCCTCTGTGGCTCTCGTGGGAGATGTCTCTGGGCCACTCTAGGCATTGTTTGAGTGATAAGAATAAATTCCTGGTCAAACAGCTCCTTTGACTTGTCTCCCTTGGATACTCGACGACGCTTCGTTGGGGGTCGCTGCTGATTTTGATCGAGGTCATTCTCACTCAGCCGCCGACGCTTAGGCACGGTCAAAGATAAGGGGCGAGATGACCGAGAGTATGGATTTCGATTGCTTGAGGAGTGGGACCGGAAGGAAGTTGGAGGACTTGTCCGGGGATCTACTTCAGCCGCGATATTTCGAGTCTCGTTGCGAATATCATTACGGTCATCCCGGGTGTTGTGGTTGCCTGGTAGATGGCACCGCGGTGAATGAGGAGGTCTATGGTGAAGATGATGTCGCAAAAGAAAGGCCTCTCGGGATTGCCAGGCGCGATATCGAGGGCGGCCCCGAACCTTGAGCTTTAGGTGAGGCTGAGACGGTGCCATCTATTCTTGATCCGTGATCGATAAGGCTGATGACAAGTGAATACCAACCCCAGCTGATGATTGAACTGGTTGAAAGGAAGAGATAAGGAGGTTAATGTCTGAAAGAACAAAGAAATTTGTCGCAACCGAAACCGAAACATGATTGGACGTTGGTGGCAATGTTTGTCGCACAAGAGCACGTGACATGTTTGTGTATGTTGATGCTTACAGTGAATTCACAAGAACTATAGATAAGGGGTGAATTGCGATTGCAAGGAGTGAATACTAAATGAGAATCACGAAGAGGTTAAAGGGGAATTGGCTGTTTGTCTTCACATCAATGTTTGGCACAAATAGCTTAAGTCTGGCAGTCTATGAGTGACAATTGAATAACACATGTACATCTAGGCAAGTGTCAAGAATATGCAGGTACCAGTCGCCAACCCATTGAAGAGAGGGCTTGAGGATAGAGGCTTATGACGTTTCGATGTGTAGGTAATCTCACAACGGCTTTACGTGTGTTTAGTCCAAACTCATTAGAAAGGATCCCTTGAGGGCGAATTACTCATGAGAGCGGACTTTCAGATACCATTAAGTCATTCCAGCTTTTAAAGCGATTGTCTTGTGACTCATTTCCATAGGGCTACTGTGTTGTATAATGTGTTCACAAGAGCTGAGTTCTGTCTGCCGGCATAAGCTCTCAACCACAAGTCTCAACAAGAGCGATGCTCATAAGAGCGATGTATAGAAGAGAATAATACCATGTGAGATCTGACATGAAGGAGGGCAAGATAAAACTCGGAGAGTGGTGGGTGGATGCCAAGTGTGATTGACTGTCAGTCCAAATGTGACCTTTCTTCGCTAAAACATTGCATTGCGATGAATGAAAACATGCTCAACAAAGAGCTCAGGGATACATATTCATTTTCTTTGTCCGCAGTAGTTTGCCCACTTAAAGTTTCAAGAGGTGAATATCATGTTTGCCGGTCTTTGAACTTTGATTACGATGCTCAATAAACAAAAACATCAAGCCTTTGAGGATGAGACAAACACTTAATTTCCCAAAAGTATATAAACCTTCCCAATCTCATCCCCAATCCAAAATAAATCCAACCTTGACATTATAAATTGATCTACCTTTACCATCACAGCATAGCATCTTTTTAACAATGTGCCGTCATCATCCCAACTCAATCTGCGGCAAGGACGCCCAGTTCTACAACAACAAACTCAATACAGGAACCCGTTTTCGTCTTTTCCTGTGCCAGTCTACCCAGGCTGACATAGCGTTTATCATTCATAACAACCGCGGCAAAGTCGGCATCAAGGCCGTTGCCAAGGCTTGTGGCCTCCACTTCGACCGTGGAAGACTAGGTCGCATTCTTGTCAGCAAGTTTTTACAACAAGTCCAATACATCGAAAAAAAGATGGAAAGGGCCACTGCACAAGGCACGCAACTGCACTTCAAGTCCCTGTCAAAACTGCCCCCTGTTCTCCCCGGAGATAGCGCTCCGGCTGCCGGTCCCCAGGAGCACCCACTGATGACGCCTGCTCTGCAACTCGGCACTCAAGTTGGATATCAGATGCATCCGACTCAGCAGTCCGCCCACACTCGCCCAATGCAAATGCCCAACAACACCAACTTTCGCAGCAATTTGCAAAACAGCTCCATCTCCAGCACTGAAGGGAATATTCAATGTACATGGAGGCGGTAGGGAGACAACTTGACAGATGGATATGTCTTGATCGGAGGAGTCGAGGAACATCTAGCATCGACACAAACTCTTAGAAGTAGCATTCGCACCATTTTTACTAAGATTCCGAATTCCATATACCCACAAGATGCCCATTTGCTGTTGCCAGTTCCCGTGACATAAGTTAAATACCTAGCTACAGGTCAGGGTTGGCTCTCACCAACGCACGGACAAGTAGCACAGTTGACTCTCGTTGTGGCCTTTGCGCATGGCAAGGTCCTTCACGTTTGATACCTTCACGTTTGATAGGCTGTTAGATACATCTTGCTGTCAAAGCATTCGAGAACTTTTACAAGTTTAATACGTATCTTGGAAGTAGCCTGTAGCAACGCCCGCCTAGATTGTCTCTTTATGTATCAAGAGTAGTAACACCGCATCAAAGCTTTGGAAGAGCCATTGGTGCGTTTGTATAAGAAGCACAAAGTAAAGAATACATATTCCAACGATAGTGCGATCATCACTTACGGCGAGACTGGAGCTTCTGACTATACTGATCTGATCGAACTCTTTGACCAGAAATTTGAGATTGCTTCACAGGAGGCTGGTTATATCTTCACCGAGAATCTTCAAGAAACATCAACTCGTGCTGGTCTCAGCCTTGTTGGCTGGAAACCAAAGAGGGATAGGAAGATGGCTGCTGCAGACTGGTGTCGCTGGGATTTTGAGACGGCATATACTCCAGAAAAAAGTGGTTTCGTGTATGGTGTCGCTGGAAACAATGCTACCTTCAAGCATTTCAGTGACGAGACCAATCTTGTTATCGATCAGCGGGGATACAATGCTTGGCTCGTTGGAGAAGCGAAAGAGTTCCTTAAGAAGAACGACCCCAAGACTTCGATTGAAGACTACGATCAAAAAGATTGAGTACACCACTAAGGGTGTCAAGATCGATACCAACAACGGGTGTGTCGAAGCAGATTACGCCATGTGTGCCTTCTCTGTCAGTGTCCTCCAAAACGACGCCGTTGACTTCAAGCCTACGCTTCCCCGCTGGAAGAGAGAAGCCATTCAGCAGATACAGATGGGAACATACACGAAAATCTTTATGCAGTTCAACGAGGCGTTTTGGCCCGAGGACACACAGTACTTCCTGTACGCTGACCCAGAACAACGCGGCTGCTACCCATTGTTTTGGTCTCTGAGTACACCGGGTTTCATTCCAGGGTCAAATATCCTGTTTGGCACAGCTGTGCAACAGCAGGCTTACGAAGCTGAGCAACAGTCAGATTCAAAGACCAAGAAGGAGATCATGAAGGTACTGCGTTCTATGTTCCCCGATAAGGACGTTCCCGAGCCCACCGCATTTATGTTACCCGATGGAGTATGGAAGAGTGAGTCACGCCGTTCCCCGCGCTGCGATGTTCGCTAAAATGAGAAACAGGGGGTCGTACCGGTCCTATATTAACTGGCCCGTTGGTATGACGCTGGAGAAACACCAGAACCTCAGTGCGAACGTGGATCAATTGTTCTTTGCTGGTGAAGCTAGCTCAGCGGGTCCTCGGGTACTTGCAGGGCGCTTACTTTGAAGGGTAGGAGCTTGCGAAGAGAATCACCAGGATATTAAACGGTGATGAGTCAGAGCAGTCACAGCAGATGAAGAGGTACAAGACGTTACGTGGCACGACTGACATCGAGGACCACGACGCTGCCAACGAATGATCGACTCCTCTTGATGATTAGGTGGATAATTCAGAGACAAATATTCCTTGCGAATAGTTGATTCCTGTTGCCAAGTACCTTGTTTCAGCGTGAGGTCGTACTATGACACAGGAGGGGAGGCAAGATGACCGAGGACTAATCTCAACCTACCAGTTAAACGTCAGAAGTTCTCTTGTATCTCCTGAACTATTTTAGCCTGCAAATTGGTTGGGTGTTGAAAGCCCTCAGTCGTTTGGCATACGTCACTTCTCCCCGCATGCCTAGGCATAAAGCTTGTAGACGAGGGGACTTCGTGCTCAAATAATGATAACCTCAAATGGAATATTACTAGAGCCAACATCAGCACTATCGCATAGGCACGTAAAAAGTATGCCACAGAACCTGGTCATTGACCTTATTTCACAATCAGCATTCTTTACCTTTCGCCTTGGCTCTTTTAACCTCTGAACCTTGTCACACACCTAGCCCCCCATCGATACTATATTACTATCTACGGCATGGCCATATATAAAAGTTTGCGGCGCGATAACTCACAGATCAGGCTCGTACGTGTGCTTCCGCCTTCACCCCATGACACCCGCCTTTCTCTCGACCTCCGCCACGGCTACATCGAAGATGGAACCTACTCGGCACTCTCATATGTTTGGGGCGATGCATCTGAGCAGCAGTACATTCTTGTCAATAGAGTGTTATTTCGTATACGCAGGAACCTCTACCAGGCCTTGATGCAACTTCGCAGTAATGGCGTCACCGGATGGCTCTGGATTGATAGCATATGCATCCAACAGAAGAATATTGATGAGAAGAGCTATCAAGTCGGGATGATGAGAGAGATTTTCAGCAGTGCGTCTCGTGTGTACTCATGGCTAGGCGAAGGCACACTCAGTACCGATGCCGCGATGGACTTCTGTGCTCGCATCGGACCGAAAGCCTTTAAGATTGAAATCGACAAAAGATTTGATGCCTATCTTGTTTCCTACCTTAAGAAGCTCTTTGCCTATCCCAAAGACCCTTTTCATTTGAACCTCGAGGTCATTCGACCATTTGTTTCTAAACCCGAATTGGCGACCTTTTTTGTCGGCCTCATACAAGACACTTGCCTCAAACCGCAAAAGTCGGGTTGTAACGACATATCAAAAGGACTGTATGACATGATGGGGCGGACGTATTGGACGAGAATCTGGATCAATCAAGAAGTTGCCCTAGCGAAGAGCGTCCTTATCATGTGTGGAGGCAAATCGGCGTCACTGGAGTTCATTGAGCAGACACTTAGGTCACTTGAACTCTGTAGCCGCTTGTACAGATTTATGCCTCTAGATGCCTCAAGAGATCTCTTTCATATGGGTTCACGGGGCATTTCTATAAAATTACCTATCTTGACGCGGCGTTTGTATCAACAAGGGCAAAAGATACCATTGTCACGGCTACTTTGTCATGGCCTTTCAGGGCCTCCTCCGCAATTATATACCGCAGCCGACCCCAGAGATCTTATATTCGCCCTCCTTGGAGTCATAACTGAAAATGGCAAGTTAGGTCTCAAAGCCGACTACCGTTTGTCGGTGAAAGAGGTATTCACTGTGGCAACAAGGGCCATGTATGAATGTGATACAGACCGCCTTGACATAGATCTATGCATGCCGAGCGAAGATCGACAGGATGAAATACCGTCGTGGGTGATTGACTGGCGCAAAGGTGGACCCAACGGCTGCCAGATGTGGCCCATCAACCCTACAAGAACAATGTATCATGCATCTGGGAACATTGATAATCCCGCCCCAGTATTTCTTGATGGCGATAATCAGTCCGGTATCCTTCGCAGATATGGGTATTTAGCGGATTCGATAACAGACGTATGGCAAGGCGGTGAGGACTGTTCTGCATATGTCCCGGGAGAGAGTGAGAATGAGAATTTGCGCCGAATATCATCAATCATCGACTTTGTACAACTGCCAGAAACCTCCGGACCTAGTGAGGACTATGTGTGGAGGACTCTCCGATCTCGTGATGCAGCTTTGGAGGATAATCATCCCAAAGTTCGTTCACTCATTCGTTCTGTGATGCGACAGGAATCAATAAGCAGCGAAAGTCTTACCGCCTCGCAGATTGCTTACCTAGACACAGTGCCATTGTCATTTTCAGAATCACCAAACTGGACTTTAGCTGAAAAACTTCCCCATGCAGTCGACCGAATCCAACGCGGTGCCTTTTTCGCAATGCAAGGGAGATCTCTATTCAAGACACAGAAGGGGATGTTTGGCCTAGGTCACGAGTATATACAGCCAAAGGACGTCGTAACACTTCTTTTTGGCACTGGTCCTCCCATTGTACTCCGTCCACGTGATGAGGGAGGTTTCACCTTTGCAGGAGATGCGTATGTAGATGGAATCATGCAGGGAGAATTTCTCCAAACGAACCCTGTTGAACAAGAATTCGTTATATACTAGGACAGATACAGTGGCTCTTGGTTGGCATTACCTAGTACCAACTTGCAACAAGACATTACCATGATGCGTTCCCAGCTGCACTGTTACATGAGACCACGGGGGTCAGTCGCGACGTCGTAATAGAAAGGTTTCAACAACCGAAAGCCAGTGCTTGTCTCAGCCCAAGTCATATATCAGTCTTTTGGATTCGGATCTTGGATCCGTCATTGAACGGTAGAGTAGCGGCCGATGTCGCGCAAACCAGAGAAACATGATCTCCTTGTCCCACCGGTCGCATAATATCCTGGTCTTATATAGAGACAGTCACACCATCGTGATAGCCCCCGGAATATTAGCACGAACTCACTCTGGTTCAGCAGAAGGACCACCGAGGGCGCTGTATAAATATCACGACAGATCACACCGGACCATAAAGCATGCACAGTTATCCAGCATCGCCTTTCATCTTTACCATCACCAAGAGTTTCACTCACCAAAGCCAAACTAGCACTGCAATCCGCTTATAGCTATGCAATTCCTCTCAGTTTCTTGTTCTACTTGCCCCCGTGGTATCTGTCTCTTGCAGTTCCAACACGTACCGTTGCAAGAACCCCGAAAAGTCCACTGCTGAAGAGGCCGCAATGACTACGAAAATTTGCAGCCGTGTAGGAAATGAGTATTGCTTCTGCAATCATTGGGCACAGTGGTTCTGTGACACAGAGGGAGAGAATATCAATAAGTTCAAGAAACTATGCGAGGACCAGGGTCAGGATCGGTATTGGAACGAATGTTGAGCGGAGGGGGGTTGATGGATCAATTCGTCATACAAGGTTTTTGTTATGGTGCTGACAGAGATGTGGAATAAACCTTTTCGTGGAATTTGACACTTGAGTTTTGGATCGATGGCTACTACTTCCAAATGCCTTGATGAGTCTTGGTCGGTGATGCTTCAATCTTCAAGCTGCAGGATATTTGCGTACCGAACCTTCAAACCGAGGTGAAAAGTGACAATCCTGTACCAAGGCTTTTTTGGGTAGCCCACTTGGGTTTAATGCAGGTACAGATCGAAAACGTCCATGACAACCATGAACAGAAGCTTAACTTCAAGCCACCAATCCCCAGTTGGCCAAGCTATCAAGCTGTTTTTGTCTTAGATGATCGGGATGTCTCACATCCATGGCAACAAGCGTGTCAAAACCTTTTGGCTCAGGTTACACACGCTCGATGACAGGAATTGATCGTCTCTTCATATTCCTCTCTTGCTTGGGGGATGAAGACCGGCGACTATTGGCGCGAGGGACAGTCACTGTGAGATCATTGAAGCCATGGAGTCTCAAACGAGACAACACCAAGGTCATCATCTGACCCAACAGCTGAGGGGTCTAGATTGAACTACGAGTCGCCTACTGGACACAAGCTCGTCAGTAGTAGCTTGAGAATCTATCAGAGGGTGCGTTATTGTGTTTTTATTGAAGTTCGAGATCAGCTCTGAATCAGCTCCTCCGACTTATAGCGGGCGCACGGGATGCTTGGAATGTTATGGCGTTACTTACTGGGTCATACGCGCTCTCTACAAGCCACGACAATCTTTGACTTTCATCGCCATATGCTAAAGGACCTATAACACAGATTTGGCGTCATACCAAGGCAATCCTACTACAACTAAGCTATAGTGAGTGCCGATCGAGACCGTTCTTCAGAGTATCAAGCTTCTCGGCCTTGAACCCCTGGCATTATCCGTCATGACGCCTTGACGCCTCGGCAGTGCCCAGATAAGCATGGACTACTTCGCTCATTTATGTGCCAAGCTGCCTTTGTCGTCGTAAGCAGGCTTCTCTGTTGAGATATTTTGCCTTCACCACTGTTCAGGCTTCTTTCGACTGACCACAATGATGTTACCCCATCGCGATAAATGGGATGCTCACTACTCAACCATCGATGAAACAGTCTACATCGGTAGAGATGTCTTTGTTGTTGTAAGTTGTACTTGTATGCCCCTCTCGGTACTGGTATGTACTGACACTTAAACAAGGTTGCCTCGACGTTATCGCTCTACAATGCGATCGAACTACTCACCCTCATCTCTCTTACCTTCAAAAGACGATCGGGACTTTACTTCTGGAGTATTCTCATTGCATCATTCGGAATCATCCCGTATTGTCTAGGATGGCTCATTGTCTACTTCGACCTTACACACGATTATGTTGGCATGATCATTGAGACTGTTGGATGGGTCCTCGTCATTACTGGCCAGTCTGTTGTTTTGTACTCGCGACTTCACCTGATTGTCACCGACGTCAAGATTTTACGAGCCGTTCTCATTATGATCATCATCAACGGTCTAGTTTGGGTAAGTCATACTCTTGCTCAACACGGTTCCCAACTGACCACGGCCTAGCACTCGACGATGACTGTGCTGCTCTTCGGATCAGAGTACAGTCCAAGTGACAATAGAAAGGGCTTCAACAATGTATTCAACATCATGGAAAAGATCTCCATGTCCATATTTTATCTGCAGGAACTCATCATCTCCGGTCTATACATCTGGAAGTCAACGGAGATCCTCAAGACAGCTTTCGGTAACACAAAATCCATGCTGTACAAGCTTTTCACGATCAACTTCGTCATCATCCTAATGGACATCGCTCTTCTTGCGATAGAGTTCCATGATCTTTATGTCTGGGAGCAAGGTATCAAGCTGGTCACCTACTCGATCAAACTCAAGCTAGAATTTGCGGTTCTCAGCGAGCTCATTGAATTCGTTCGCAATCGTAGCGGAACTCGGTCACGTCCGACAAAGAATACCGAGAATCAGAGTACTCTGGTGCCGTTGTCGTCTATGCACAAGGGGACTACTAAAGGAACAACCTCAAGTACCAGAGGCTTTATCCACGCTGGCGATTCTCGGACCAACACAACTATTGCGGCTACCAATCCGATACCAGCGGCTCCGACTAATGATAGCATACACGTTTTGAGAGAGGTTGACGTGGAGAGTTTGTCTGCTTATCCTGGGAACAACCAAAGCACTGATGAGCTATGGGGTCGTCTACCTGAAGACCCTGGGAAGGTCATCGTTGGAAGGGCATTATGAACATAATCGAAATTATTTTTGTTGTATATTTATGACCTTTCACCATATGGAATCTGGGCTTGCCCACGCAGCATCACTTCGCTGCTTGACTAAATGTTCATGTCTTCATTAAACTGTTCTAAATTTGCAGGCCATTATTTTGCCAGTCATTAGTCGAGGGTTACTGCAGCCCCTCGCTTCCTGACGATACACAGGTCCAGTCAGTTCATTTCTCGGTAAGCTGCATATACTGGATGAATCACCATCTCGAATCAAGTATTTTCCCCCGCCTTGTACATTGTTTTCATCGCAGTCTGAAACCTGTCATACATACATCGCTGGCTATAACCCCTCAGTGGAATTTTCATTTCCCTCGGCCTTAACCTCGACCTCAATTCCAGAAACGCCGAGTTACTCACCATGGAGCCAATTTCAATGGCCATCGGGATTGTTCCTCTATCTATGCAGCTAGTCAAAACGATAATCACTATCAAGGAGCTGGTCAACGACCACAGATCGGCGGCAAAAGAACTGGATCACATTTGTCGCAAGCTTGATAAGCTTGAAGATGTCTGCAAACTTCTGAACATAGCTCTATCGGAGGCTAGTGGTTCGTCCTTTACAATTGGGCAGTCTGTTATGTTCGATAACCTCCAATGCACCATTAAAGAGTGCTGCGTCGAAGTATCCCATGTCTACCAGGAAATCACAAAGATCTCTAGAAATCTCAGCAAGACTCGCAGTCCCTTCAGAAGCACGGGCTACATACTTCTCAACTACAGACGTAAGCTTGCCTCTTGTGTCGAAAGTCTTGACAATTTAGTCGGCTTTCTTACCTTATCTTTGTCGGCGTTCTCAGCATAAGTATGATGCCACAATATCAGTATGGCTACCTGAATAATCTAGTGCCATGAGCGTAAAGCCCGTCCAACCGCCGAACCTGTCGCTCCCCCCCATTCGGCCCACACAGAACACAGGTGGCTTCCAACCAAATCAAGAGTCCGGCGCATCAGATTACCATGTCCAGCCTGCCCAAGACCCTTCACAAGTTTTGGTTGAGAAATGGAGACGACAATGCTCAAGTCTAGCGTTTCTTCAAAAGACACAGAAGTTAAGAACGATTCTTGGTACTGAAACTCAAGTCTCAGCGCAGGTACAGGAAAGCTCAACTTTCACTTTTGGGTCATCATTATTGAACATATACATACAATTTTCGTTAATGAGAGGACCTCTTGCACCTCTCACTATTCGCTTGCAAGTTCCGAGGGTGCTCATGATATCCAATCGTGGCAGCGACTTCGGCATCAGTGTCCGGAAGGCCTTTGAGTCAGACAATATACAAGCGATTGTCGGGTTCTTCAGCCAAGGTCTCCTCACGACCGCCACGATAGTCACGTATACTGAATATAATCCTGAGGACGAAGCATCCTTATTGGGCGTAAGTAAGCTGCTCGGAATTTTTTCATCAGTGCACTGACTCTGTTTTAGCTCGCCATATCATTTAAATCTCGCAAGGTTCTCAACTTTTTGAAGGATCATATGGATTTTAGCGAAGAAAGGTAGGTACAGTCAATGGGGACTCAATGTGATGCTGGCTGCTAAAGATCGCAGAAACCATGTAGCCCTTTTAGACTTTCCATGTCGATGGCCCAAGACAGACGAAGGCTTCTCATGCATTCTCGACTACATCCATATGCGCAAGATGCAAATGACCCTGGAGGAGTTCCGCCGCTTTTTCCATTGCCACGAAGCTCGCCATATGATAGCTTATGTAGAAGCCTGTCGACAGTATTTTCTTGACGATTTGGAGGGCTTCAATGATGTCGTTTTGAGACAGGTCAGCTATATGTTTGGCTTAGTTTCAATTTATCAGACGTCAAGTTCTCCGATTGAGAACTGGGCATCCCTACTTGCAAACGCGGTCCCACGCGGTCGGGACTTGATTACCAGCTCTGAATGCCATTTTAAAAGCACTCTCTGGTTTATTCAGCAATATTCCTTCAACTCTGATGCTGCTTGGCAAAGTCTCTGCCGTTGGATTGACATCTTGGAGTTGGCTCAGGTTGATGTATCAAATTGCCTAAGGGTTGCTATAAAAAGGTCTTTCAAGAACTGGGCCGACACTCAAATTTGCGACGAGGGCATTGTTCGAAGAATCCCTCGCTGAGGACATTATAAGGGCTACACGGTCCCTTACTGGATCGAACGAGCTGACAAGTCGTGCCCGATACGCGAACTTTTGACTGAATTCCCAGCACTGCGAAATAGGGACAGCAGAATCCAGTGGGGGGGCTGGAATGAACGTACAGACGTACACAAACAATGGAACAGTGGTGTGAACCTCGATTCATCACACTTTGCGATGATATATTGGCCAGTCATGCCGCCTCTCAATCGGTATAAACCGGAAGTTTCGGATGATGAGGACAGGCCTCGACTAGCAGACTGGGCCGATCGAGCTTGCGAGTTGAAGGAGCGTCGTTTCGAGCGAAAGGAGCAGCGTAGGCGTCAAAAGCTCAACAGTAAAAGGAACGGGTGGCAGAACATACCTGGTGCATGGGTGGAATAAGAGAGACTTTAGATGATGGATTATTTGTGCACGGTCAGCTCCTATTTGAACTCATACAAATCATTGTTGTTTTGGTGAAACTATGGGATCAGGTGGTTCGCCCATAAACTGTACCCCTCCTTATGCAGGCTGCCAGAGTAGACGAATCACAGTTCAAAACAAGTCGGCGATGAGAAAACATCCATCGAATAAGATCGCCATGTTTTGCACAGCCCCTCCAAGGCATTCTGCGCAGCCCGATTTCCCTCATCGCCAACATCAAAAGACTCGGGTCTCATCCTCGTATTCCAGACTTCACCGTCAACATTCCTTACACACTATGGACCCTGCTTCTCTAAGTTTCGGAATTGTGTCACTAGTAATGCAGCTAGTGCAGACAGCAAAGGCTGTCAAGGAATACATCGCAGCCTACAAGTCAGCGGCGGAAGAGCTCGTAAGTCTCGCCGACAAGCTTGATGATATTGAGACCATTTGTTGCTCTTTGGAAATCATTCTTTCAAATGGGACACAACGATTCACTACCCTGGAAGTCAATCTGCTCAAGAAGCTGAGTCGTATTATCCAGCAATGCCTCTCTAAAGTCTCCGATATCCATAGCATTCTCGATACAATCTCAAGAACGCAGAAGAATAGCCGAAACCCTTTGAAGACTGTTGGAGCACTATTTCTGCGCTATAGAGACAAGATTCGTCTCGCCACGAATGGACTGGACCGTTGCCTCTCTTCACTTCAGCTGCATATGACCGCAAACATTCTGTACAGTACATCTAGTCCGCAACCTGCAAACTTCCTTCTAATCCTTCAGGGCTGTGGCTATGACGTCTCATAAGACTGTCCGGGGCCCTTTGCCAACTACAGCTACAACAACTTCAACAGCTAGAGATCTAGGAAAGGCACCAAGTGTCAGGCACCTCGATCAATGCGACAAGCATCAACAAGCGCGTCAAAAAAGTCCAGAAACTGTCGTCGATACATGGAGACAAGGCTGGAGCACAAAGGCTTTTGTGCAGTGGACGAGAAAGACAACCAAGGAAGAAATCTCATTCGACACAAGCTCATCAAGAATTCAGGATGATTCTATCTTCACGATAGGTTCTTCATTGCTGAGTTTGTACGTGAAATTATCGCTACGGCGTGGTAGTCTCTCCCCATTGTGTATCACTCTACAGATACCACGAGTCATTTACCTCCTTCAAGGCCAGCGCCAGATTGGCGAGAAAATTGAATACGCTTTTATGGATGATAATTTGGGTCAAATCAAGACATATTTCACTCAAGGCATTCTGACACCCGCAACAGTAATTTCCTGGGATGAATATGATCCTGATAATGAAACTTCTCTTCTGGGCGTAAGTCGAAAAGCATTATTTGTTTATCACCCTAACAACATGACAGCTGGCAGCCTTGACAAAATCCAAGTCAATTCTCAGATTTCTCGCAACGCAAACGTTTGATCTATCTAACAGGTAAGCGTAAGCTATAGACAGATACGAACGGATATGCTAACATTCTAGAAATCATGTTGGCAGTGCAAGGTTTTTGTACGCTTTTAATGGCGAACATGGTCCCAGATGCGTCCTGGAGTACATCAAGATACGCCGAGACTCCATTTTGGCATCCGAATTTCACATGATCCTGCGAGGTATTGTAGATCCCTATAATGCGCGGATGTGTGTAGAAGCGTGCAAGCCTTATCTCTCAAGCAACATGGTGGCTTTTAATACTGCGGTCTGGAGATACGCCATGAAACAGTTCAAGTACGTTTCAGCAGTGAACATCGAGGGATGGGCAGACCTTGTTGCAGACTGTGTCTTCAGAGGGTTGGACATCCATCAACAGCTTCGATCCGACACCGACTTCAGCGCTTTAAAAGATATACTGTTTTACAGCTGGGACACTGACGAGATATTGGAAAATGTGCATCGATGGCTAGATATTGTGGAGCAAGCTGGTGTCAGCATCAAGGAATATCTCATGGTCGAGACAGAGTGCTATTTCGCGACGTGGCACGATACGCCATATTGGAATGAGAAGAAAGTCGGCTCCTCGAACTACAAACGCGTTCTGTTCATCAAGGAGTCGAGAGGCAGACAATTTCCATTCTGGGCCCTTTCAATCCAGGACGAGTGCCCTGTTAAGGAACTCTTGACGGAGCATGAACACTTTGCTACGCCACTCACATTATACCCAGGAGGCTCGACACAAGCATACATTGCACAGCATGAAGCTTGGAAAGAACACCAGACCTTAGGGGCTCCAGACGGATCTGATAGACATCGAAAAGGGTGGCCTTTTTGGCTACCTCTTCGGTACTACAACGATTATAGTGCGGAGGAGACGGAATGGATGGATCGGGAAATGCAAATGGCCCAAAAACGGTTTGACAGCAATCAAAAGCGCAAGGAAAGAAAAATTGGATTGCATATGCCAAAACAGCGGACGTCAATGCCAGGAACCTGGGTAGATGATACTTGAGGTTTTGAGTAAACGATTGGTTTTGGTATATATCGCGTGTTGAATGTAAGGTATCTCGTGAAATGATTTCCTTATGTGAATGAACGACCCGAGCTCAGCGCACTGCTCGACTATCGCTGGTTACGAGTCTGTAGAATATAAACATAAGAGAATGTGCGATAGTCTTAGCCCTTAGACGCCTAAAGACTTGAGATCATGAATCCGGGGGGAGAGTATCAAGTCGTCAAAGAGCGGTTGATCCCAAAATAACCTCAGTTACCCTAAGCCTGCAGGGTCAGGTACGGCTGATCATTGACCCACATCTATTGAAAGAGGATTGTGATTGGCAGCCGACGACGCGTCTCGTGAGCTAGCGGCGCTGACGTCGTCATCCTTGACACCAGAAATCTCACCCATGTCGAATCGACTGCATCCCCTAAACCCGAAATGTCCTTCCAGCGGCCCAAAGAATGGCCACAAAACGTGTCCTTCGTGGCAGTCACCAACCAGAAGACGAATCCGGTATCATATCGTCACTCCTCCAGATACAAAAATGCAGGATCCCGCAGCAAAAGATGATATGGATCGTCGAGAATCTCGAATGCCTCGGTCGACGACAATCCAAGAAGAGAAAGCTTACTGAAGATGAGAATGAAAAATTCGAGACACCTTATTGGTTCAGAAAAACCGTCAACGGATTCACAGACAGCAATTTCGTTGCGCTTTCGTACACCTGGGACGCTTCTGAGTATGAGACGCAGAATTCTAGAAGCGAAGGTCATAAAATCGAGACAAGGGATGGGCAAGAAGCCTGGCGATCCTCAGTAAGAAATTCAGTACTTGAAAGGATCACCAAGTACATGCAGTGCCATGACGTGCCGCTTCTGTGGATTGATCGGCATAGCATCCCGCAGAAGAAATGCAAGCAGCCAGCATGCACACATACTGAGTGCCGACAAAAGAGACATGCTCTCGATGCAATGGATCGTGTTTACTCGCTGAGCAATCATCCCGTTGCGCTACTCGGCCGCCCAATTCAAGATGAGGATGAGATGAGGACTCTCTCTTCAATACTCAAGGGCGCCCTTGTCAAGTACCATGAGGGCGGATTCGCGCTGTCCAAGGGCGCAGAGTATAACCAAGCGCATAAAATGTTATGTCTGATATACAAAATCACTAGCGATAAATGGTGGACGAGAGCGTGGACATTCCAGGAGAACTACAGAGCTGGTCTCAAGATGACGCTCCTGATCCATCACAGCGCCGACTTCGAAGACACAAAACGGTCGATACTTAGCGGCAAGAAACCCATGTTTGGTGTAGTACCTGGCGAGATGAGTGTCCAGTCTGCCAGGTTTTCAGAAAGCGCTACTAAATTCTGTCTTGGCTTTCGCCGACATCACTTTGTGACGAGTGAGGATGACGAAATGATCGATCACATACTGGCGACGGCTGGCAAGTACACCATATTGCTGTCACCTTCAAGCTCCATGTCAGGGACGATTGTCTCAGATGTTCGAAAACGAGGCGTCACAGAGCCATTTGACTGTCTGGCCATCGTCGCCAACTGCTGCCAATATGCGACGCGCCTCAACAGTACGCGGCTTCAAGACAGCGGTGTGAACCTAGACCTCGCGATACTGGCCCTTCGTCTCGTAAATGGCGAGATACTCAAGAATGATGAACCGCCCTTATCAGAACATGAGCCGATGGTTGAACAGATCAACAATCTTTTCTTCGACAATTTCCGAGCCCCGGAGGGTGCTAAAAGGTTAACTTTCAACAAGAGCTGTCGCTTCGTTGATGTTAACTTGACTAAAACTGGGATAGTTACAAGAGGTCATCTTTGGAAGCTGGACGATATTCTTCGAGAGCCGCGGTCATCGCCACGCTTATCACAGCCAGTCCAGCAAGGCGAACAGCAACTATCGGATTATGAGCGGACCCGGCTGAGACAGCTAGTCGAACTTGTCAAGGCAAAGAAAGGACGTAAGGACGCAGAGATAGTGGATGATGTGAAGGACTTTCTGGAGGAAGATGTCTTCGTTGTAGATGAGGAGTCTTTCAGCCTACAGTATCGAAGACTCATGGCCAAGGAGGTCATCAGAGCCATGGACGCAGATCAACCTCTAACACTGGGCTATCTATGTGACCCATCTGGAGAGGCTACAACAGCACGAGCAATATTCATTCGGAGCCGGAAATATGATGAATCTGAAGAGCTTTTCAGCCAGCAAGAGGATGATCTCACCCATGTCTTCACGTCGCTCTGGTCAGAAGACCCGCCAGATGAGGAGTATCTTGCGAACGATCTCGACCACCACGTGTCTCTTGGGGTCCGCCTTTCTGATGGTGAACACAACGGACCATTGCGCTTGTATACTAAAGAGTGGGTTCTTGGTTTATGCTTCTTTGTCGGTGCTCCGACTTACGAGGTTATATTTCCGTGGCCCAGACCACTATCACGGTAGTGGAGGAGGACTTGAGAGATGAATATGTAACAGTACTGTAATACCAGAGACGAACATATTTGTGGGGAGGAGATAGACCTTTGGGTTGGATCATGGCAAGACATATTGACGATAATGCCCAGGGAAGGGATGAAAAGTCAGGATCATTGTCGCAACTGATGAATATATTTAGGTAAGTTTAGTGTATCTTTAGACCAGTTTTCGTCTGCCCGTTAGAGCACGTAGCGGAAATGAGGGTTCTGCAAAACGTTAGTGCTTCGTCAGAGTCGTCACAATGTAGCCGAACTCAAACTTACCTCGAAATCTGTCAAGTCAGCTCCATCCACTTCAGAAGCATCCTCATTGTTCGTCCCAACAGCTGCAGCTGCAGCATCTCGTCGTGCATTTCGCCTGGCCAAGAGTACTCGTAGCATAATTGCGACGACCATCTGAGCCACAGAGCAGCTGAGAATCGTAATGCATCCGGTTGGATACAACGGCGCCTCAGAGCCCAAGAAAGCATGAGGGCCGATGACATTCCCGACACAGTAAGCAATGAAGACCATTGCTGAAGCAGTGATACGCTTGGTGTAGCCACCGAGATTGCTAGCGGGCATCTGCATCGCGAGAACCAGAGAGCAGACAAAAGCACCGATGATGTAATAACCAAAAAGTACGCCTATCTTGTGATGCTCACGATCAAGTTTCCAGAGCAGGCAAACTCCAATCATGGTGGGGACAAGATAGACAGTCATGATGATAGTTCGGCAGTTCTTGATTCGCGAAGCCAGGAATGTGCCTGATAGAATGTACATGACTTGGAATGCGCCCATAGGGATACCAAGAGCGACTGTCTCAAGAGGATCCTTGACAACGCCCTTGATGATGAGTTTACCGAAGTTGGCGATACCTCCGTTGATGGTCTCGTTGAGGAGCATAAACAAGACGAGAAGCCAGACTTGAGGATCGATTAAAGCCTCGCGGATTTGCTTCCACTTGATGGTTTTGTTCAAGACACCAGTTCGAGCGAGACGGCCACGGCCGATGAGTAGCGCTCGTTCTTCGAAGGTGAAGTGGCGAGCTGACATGATACTGTCGGGGAGGAAGAAGAGTAGGACGAAACCCCAGACAACCGTCATGCCTCCACAGGTCATGAAAACCGCCTTCCACACGGGAAAGTTCTTTATTTGGCCAATACCATAGGTAAGAAGACCGCCAAGCTTTTTGACGTCAGCATAGTCAGAAGAAGAGGTAAAAATGGACGTACCATAGCCCCAACACCATTACAGCAGTAGAAGATACCGGCTCTGAATGGCTGCTGCTCACGCGTATACCACATCGAAACGATCATCATGAAACACGTCGTGATGGGTGCTTCAAAGACGCCGAGGAAGAATCTGCACGTCGCCAAAGAACCAAAGTTATTTCCCGCAGCGGTCAATAATAAAACACTGCCCCATGTTATTACACATCCGCTGACAACCTTGGCCATTCGTGTTTTCTGTGCGAGAAATAGCCAAGGGTATTCCGCAGCCATATACGCAAAGTAGAAGACTGACGCAAACCAGGAATACTGATCTTATGTGATTCCCGTATCCGTAAATAGGTCGAAAACTGCTGCATAACTTAAGGCATTCTTATCGATGTATTGGAGCATGTATGTGCCCATCAACATGGGGAGGAGGATCATGTCAACTTTTCGGATGAGCTTCTTGTTAAGCTCCGTATCCGTCAATAATTCGCCGATGTACTCATTCGTGAAGTTGTGTTGACGGAGGAATGTCTCTGTAGCATCAAGTTCAACGACTTCGCCTGGTGTGATTGATTCGAGCTTTTTCATTGCGATTTGCTCTTCGGCGAGCTTCTTGTCGTAGGGCAACGGCCCTGTTGTTGCTGGTGACATCGCTAGTGTAGGGCCTTTATCCTAAGAGTCGGAAATATCTAGGCAAGTTTAGGATAACTGAGAAGATCTTTAGACCAGTGGTACTCAGTACCCTTGAATCAATCTCAGAAGTGCTCCACAGTGACAGCTTTAAGATCCATGATGATGGGGAGATCAAAGACCCATATAGCCTTCCCTTCAGTCAAACAATCCATAGACAATGGCCCGGGGTACATGATTCTCGTATCAACCAAGCGAATTAACCCTATCAGTCTATCATGCAGATCCCATCCCAACGAAGCAGCAGTTCCTGAGGTAAGAGAGCGCGAACGGCATCCTCGCCAATGACATCCTCACTAAACTCGCCCTAAATCCAGTTGGCCGCTATCAACCTCCGATACTCGGTCCTCAGATCTGACACCGGCCACGATCGGATCCATATTCAACGGGCGAAAACGCGGGGCAGGAAAGTTCCCCGATCTGAAAAGGGAGATTTCCGTGTTTTATTTCTCAGATTGGAAAGATAGGGCGTAGATGGCACTTATCTCCGGCGATTTTGCTGCTCAAGCCGTTGTCGGAACTGAGCCGTGGAGAGCGGAGCGGTTTTTGGACGCCGAGAAGATGCCCCTCATATTGATGGCGCTACTCCAACATGGAGTTTCGTCAGTGTTTAAGTCTTGAATGTATTTGACCATCATCCTCTCACGATTCCTCATTTATGGTAATAGCAAATTAAGTCAAAATGGGTAGCCAAATCTCTCCAGACACTCCAGCCATATCTCTGCCCCAAGGCAAGCTTGTCGGCGTCAAGCTGCATGACAGCCTACCCCAACCTGTAGATGGTTGGATGGGCGTCCCATACGCTCTACCCCCCACAGGCGATCTCCGTTTCCGTCTCCCCGTCAAAGTGCCAGCTTCACCTGACAAAGTCATCGATGCTTCTGACTATGGCCCTGCAGCTCCTGGCAAGGGATTGTTGGTGGGACCAACGCTTGAGCAGAGTGAGGACTGTTTGACAGTGAATATCTTCCGCAAGTCAGCGGATAAGCATGAAAAGTTGCCGGTATGCATTGTCTTTCGTTTAGACGTATCTTGGATTACTCAAATGGGACTCTAGGTTGCTTTGTACATTCATGGCGGCGCATTTAACAGAGGTTCGGCGCATATGCACAAGACGGCGTCGATGGTGGCGAACGCGCCGCAGGCGTTCGTTGCCGTGACGTTTCAATATCGAATTGGAGCTTTGGGATTCTTGCCCTCAAGTCTGAGTGCCAAGGAGGGTGTTCTCAACCTTGGATTAAAGGATCAGATTCTCATGATGGAGTGGGTGCAAGAAAACATCGCAGCCTTCGGTGGTGACCCTAGTAATGTTACATTGTTTGGTCTGTCTGCCGGTGCTCATTCTGTAAGTTCCAGGGTTAATTTGAGCGTACAGTCAACTAACTTCAAACAGATCGGTCATCATATCATGCACTACAAGGATGGTGTTGCCCCTCTCTTTCATAAAGCCATTATTGAGTCTGGAGCTCCTACATCACGAGCCGTGAGACCATACAATGCGCCGATTCATGAAGCCCAGTTTAAGGACTTCCTCCGCGCGGTCGGCGTCCCCGAAGATCTCCCAGAGAATGAGATCTTTCCTTATCTGCGCCAACAACCCGAGAAGGTCATCACAGATGCACAAACAGCCACATTTGACAAGTACAACCCCTCCCTCCGCTGGGCTTTCCAACCTGTCATTGACGGTGAAGTCATCGCTCGACCGCCTCTCGAGACATGGAAGTCGGGCAAGTGGCATAAGGTGCCCATAATGACTGGCTTCACAACGAACGAAGGTTCCCTTTACGTTAACAAGCAAATGTCGGAGTCTTCTCAGTTCCGACACTTCTGGGCCGAGTTGCTGCCGCTGCTTACCTCCGAGGATTTGGACACTATTGAGGAACTCTACCGAGATCCAGCCAAGTTTGAGGATTCCGAGTACAAGGAGACACGCAAAGATATGGGATCACAGTATAAACGCATCGAGGCTGCATATGCCCACTATGCTTATGTCGCTCCCGCGCGTCAGACAGCCGAGCTCGCCTCCCCATCAGTACCCGTCTACCTCTACCACTGGGCCGCTGTCAGCACGGTCAACAACGGTGCCCAGCATGCCGATAACATGCGTTACGAAGTCTGTGATCCCAAGGTCGTCGCTGTCTCTGAAACACAAAAAGACCTTGCCAAGACATTGAACCATTACGTTACCAGCTTCATCACAAGAGGTGATCCCAATGCTGTACCTGGAGAGTACCCACAGAGACCCAAATGGGAGGCATATGATCCCAAGAGTCCCAAGGTATTGAGATTCGGCGAAGGGAATGAGGAGTTGATAGGAGGAAGTGCCGGTAAGACTGCTGTGTTTACAGATGATGATTGGGCTCGTAAACAATCTGAGTTTTGGTGGAGTAAAGTAGACATCTCACAGCAGTGAGCAGAGAAAGGAAAGAGACACATAAACATGTACAACACTCAGGCTATTATTAACAACAGTCTTGAAAGAGCTTCTTCTCCCACCTTGACTGTATGGAAATGCTCTGTGGTAGAAGCGGTACCACCTACCAGGAATGGAAAGAGTCCATCTACGCTTGCCTTGCCTCGTGACCAAGCAAAGGCTTAACCTCCCCTCTTGAACTTCAGTAGACCTTAACACCACCTCCACCGCCGACTGGAATATGGCAGAACACTCACAAAAACATGGATATAATACAATCGCAAAAAGATATCTTGAGCTTCAGCTCTATCAATGCGTAATCAGGGAATCGAACCCTGGGCTCCCCGACGCTGCTCGAATGGCAACGGAGAATTTTACCACTAAACCAATTACGCTTCTACTGATGGTGTTGAGACGATCCCAGTCCGGATCAAGTCGTGGAAGGAGAGCAAAGTTTGACGTTGACTTTGGAAGAGCTCTGATTAAGCTAAAATTACATAGATAAGACATTGAGATATAAGTTCCAATAGGCTCTGGAGGAACAGCGGTTTTCCATCTGCATGAGAAATCTTCACAAACTCACAAACTTAGTCAAGTTTTTTTATATCAACAGAACCTATCCGTTGTTCCCTTCTTCTGCCCCATGATGTTCAGTCTCTGGAGGGGTCTCCATCTCTTGATGGAGATGAGTTTGGGCACGTGACTTGACTTCGGGGCTTCTTCGCCTGGTTGATGACTGTTGGGTTGCGTTATCATCAATATTGCTGGAGCTCGGGACGGAGCTAGAAGGCTCTGATATATCTTGACGGATTGGATGTTCGCGACCTGTTGTGACGTTGCCAATGTTAGATGACCGATGAGCTTGGTTAAGAGCAAAGTCTCCCGAGTCGAAATATTTTCTTCCCTTTCATCAAAAGTGTTAGCTTGACATATGCAAGGGCAAAAGATATCGTGCGAACCTCTAATTGGTGATTGAGAAGGCTGCCTCGCTTTGGAAGGATCCCATATCGATTCAAGAGGCGCTTGTTCTTATCTGTATCCATATCGGTTGATTTGGTCTGGTTCATAGTCCAGTACGAAGTTTTGATGAGCGAAATACTTGGTTCCGGAGAAAAAAAAGATCAAACGTATTTTATTCTCGGTATTGATAATATTGCCCATTCTTGGGGACCAGAGAAACCCTTAAAGCTACATCCAGAAAGTGATGGTTCGTACTGGACGCGCATGACGTAGCCTAGGTTGTCTCGTGCCAGAGATGCATATTGAACCCTGCATTTTACTATGGGTTGCGGACCGTTCTCGAAGGGTCTTGGGGGGCTTCATGTGTCAAAATGCTATGGGTTGCAACCATCAGTCACATGCTAATGCGCGTTTTATTGCGTACAGTGTTTATCCTCACTTCACGAACTGATTAAAGATGCATGTTGAGTGAGATTGGTGGACAAGAAGCATACGAAGAACGGCTGTTGGTATGAATCAACAACTGCGACGGTTGGGTGATGATCCTGTGCGATGACCCCAGTGCATCAGCTGGCCTAGTGGCTGGATAACCCACTGTAAATCAAGGCCTCGCTTAGAGTCTTGTCTGAGCTCAAGTGGGCTATGCCACGTTCACTGGACCACCAAAGATGATTGCCTTGCATAGATCTAACGGGTTTAGTTGGAGCAGAAAGAGAAGAGAAATCCGCAGCAAGAAAAGGAACATGAGAGAGACTCACGACGGGATTTAAAACAGGATGTCTCTTGGACCCTGTATTTCATTACGTAGGGCGGTCAGTAGCGCTGATATGCCGAAGAACCCGAGTGCAACGTCCACCCCGCAGTACTGGTTTGGCACTGTCCATGCCTGTCCACCTTTTGAATCACAGACTGCGGAGGTTCACCCAACGCCCCGTGGGAGACGATATAAATACAGTACAACGGTCATAAATGCGGTGCATTCGCCCAAATCCCTCAAAGTGGAACACCATCGCCGATCAATTTTGCAAACCTACCAAAATGCCATTCGTTAATGAACCTACCTCTCCCTCAGAGCCTGAGGTCTCTCAACAGTCACCATCATCAAACAAAGAAACATATTCGCTTTCTTTATCGGAGCATACAAGAAACCAGATAGCGGCTCTGCTCGAATCACCCAACGCGCAACTGTCGCCGGACCTGGCTTTCTTGCCTAGTAGCTGTGTTCTTTCATTACCGCGACTGAACTCAGGCTCAAGCGCGAGCACGCAAACATAAGGGCGTCGTCACCTTGAGCCGATCAGATATCCTGAACGAAAACCGGCTGAGATTGGGAGAGAGAATTGTGACTTGTAATGAAGTCCAATGTTACCAAGGCGTTATTCATGTTTCTTTTCGGATGGATCGGCGGAAAGGTCGGGACCAAAATGGAAATCTGTTGATTGCGGGGGCTTAGAATGCGCACGCCCGGGATTCTGGGTCCGTTGGACGTTCATCCCCAGGAGGGACTTCCTACATATTTAATATGAGATCAAGCTATGTCAAATTGACGATGTTAATTCTAGATAAGATCAGCATTTTATTCTACCGAGTTTGGATAATAAATTGGCAGCTGGCCAAGCATCTCGGTCGGCAGTTGAATGTGCCGAACATAACTTGATCTGCCGAATATCGTGTTTCCCCAACCTGTCGCGTGAATTAAGCATACTTGCATATCTCGGCATATAGAGGCGAGATATTTCATCAGCTTTGAGATCATACTAATAGGCAAAAATAGAGCAGTGCGAAGGCTATACTCTTGTGGGTGAATCTTGGACGCAAGCATTCGGGTCTTGAAGGCGTCAACTCCGCTATGCAATACCAGTAGCATAGGAGCAAGAGTGATTCTGTCTCTTGCCTTTCTAGCACGCGACTGTAGTTAACGAAGTATAGAATTAAAATTGAAGCCGCAGGGGCAAGGCAGTTGTACTTGATCAAGATTTTATTGTCAAAATGCCTCATACCACGAGCCTCGGGATAGAAACAAACATGCTCAACGCCGAAAACTGTAGCCCTTGGGGATTTTAAGGAGTTTAATTGAAGACTTTGCTTGTAAGCCTTCTGTATAGATGTATAGTCTAGATTTCTTTACCTTCGCTCGGTCTCATTGACAATGAATTTGCTTGTAGTCCAATCAGCACCAGCCATCCCCAGTTCAAAGTTGCCAAATCGGGAGAATCACCATGAGTCATTCTGTATCATTGTGTATCGAAAATGTCTAATTCCGAGCCTCCCGTACTAAATGCAGGGGTAATCACCTAGTGTACATATCTTGATCGGTGCAGTGTTCGCTATCAGGCAACTTAATTTTGACAGCACAAGTTAGAAAGGCTTTCAGGGCTTCAAATGAATTGTAAAAGCAGATTTAACACCATTCAGAAGGTAATGCTGTAGACCCGTAGAGACATTCCATAAAAATAGCTGTTAGGATTTAGGATTTCTTTGAAGATATTCTTTACTACAATTCCGTCCCTCGTGTCCACATCTTGTTGCATGTCTCGCAGTGTTACTGGTGGTTTAAGGAGAACAGTAGCATCCGACCTGAGTGATCACTTTCATGGCGGTCTGTGTGACAGCAGACTTCAAGTGACGCCCCTCGCCCATCTAACGGGCACTTCATCAACCCCGAGCCGCTACTTTGCAGCATTGAGAGCAGGGTACATACTCGCGGCCAACTCCTTTCGTCTCGGCGTGACGTAACATCCAGGGAACTATACAAAATGATTCATCGTGAGCACTGAGATATCATTGTACCATGGGATTATCGACTGGGAAGGCACTAAAGCGAGGCATGTAAAGATGTATAATATAGCATATAAAGTTTGGCAGCAGTCTCGTAGCTTAGATCCGACAATACTAAAACGGCAGTCAAGCACTTTCAAGAAGGCTATGCACGAAAGGTACAGTCTATCCTGATTTCTTTCTCCTACTGATCACTCTACATGATGCATAATATTTTGCCGAACTGAGGTTACTCGCATGGAATACTGCGTCTTTGAGGACCCATTGAACCGACATCGCCTGACATATGAGGCTTTCCATCGTCCCTTGTTTCAGTCTATCACAACGTCATCTGCTAACTTTGGCAATCTTTAACAGGCCAATATGAGGCTCAAAGGCCCAAGCTGCTTATAATGAAGGACGGGGAGACTCTCTAGATAAGTATTGCTGCTGATAACCTTAAGCTAGTGCGTTGTGAGCAAGTGAATTGCTTGTGGATCTGTTCTTACCCAAATAAAAATATTCTTAGCTATAATTACCATGTCTGGTAACTCGTTGTCTGTCTATCGATCCTTATATGAGCCCTAGCGGAGGGACGATAACTCAGGACCTTGATCCTCAGTTATAACAGAATTTAGGTAAATGAATAAATATTTAGGAAATTTCTACTAACTTTAGGAAAATCTTTACTAACTTTAGGATGCCCTTTGCTAAGTCTATTCGAATATTATAAATCAAGGTCTGATATCTTCTTGTTCCCCGAGGGGACCTTAGTGCCTTGCCATTCTCCACTGTCTAAAGCACCTCAACCATTCAAACCAACAACGGAATATTGTCCAACCTCCCAAAGCAAGCCGCCAAGTTCCATTCCTGAGTCAATGCCCCTCGTTGTGTCCACGTTTTCCGAATGATCTTCATAGCCTCGATCAAGCCACCCACGTTACTCAGTGGCTTCGTTCTACTAAAGATGTGTTCAACCACAGTTTCATGACTTTCGGACGCCAAACACCCTGTCACGCAGAAGGGCCACGCAACCGTCATCAACCAGCTTGGCGTAGTCAAGCTTTCCAACAATTTCAGATTTGCGGACACAAGATCAACAACTTCGCTCACGTCGGGATGCCATCCCGAGAGAACGACAGTTAGGTAGAGCTGTGCAGCGTTCGCCCATACCCGAGTAATGGCGTAGTAGGCGTCGCGTGGAGGGCGCATGGTTCGTAGTAGAGTGAACTCTGCGAAAATCTCACCTTGCTGATTGGTCGTCTCTTGTGCTCGGTGCTCTTCATCGTTCAGTATCGCCAGGCCTCGATCAAGCTTTTCAAGAATTTTCCCTGCCTTTTGAACCAAAGTCATAAAAGAGAAATTCCCTTTCCTTTTCGTCTCTTTCTTCCAGGCGTTGAGAGCCACTGCTTCGGCAATGCTGAGAAATACCCAGTTCTCGCACCCAGTCACATCTTTCATGTTCAGACTGGTTTCACCTTGGCCCGACATCAACTTTTCGTGATAGTCAATGAGACTTGGTGCCTGCTCCAGTGCGCTGCTAGATACGATGTCGGCGAGAATGATCTTGGCAGTGAAGAAGCGTAAAGCTACTTGCGTTGAAGAAAACAAGTTGACGTCTGAACAATTGACTCTGTTCGCCTGCTCCGCTGACATCTGCGTCGGATCAAATGTCACGCGCCACACAACATGCTTTATTTCTGGCGAGTCGAGAACTTGCTTGAAGAGTATTATCGAAGCATCTAGGTGTGGTCTCCATGCTTGGGAATACTGAGTCATGGTCTCGAACTCGAGTAACAACAGGATATCTCCAAAGAGATGCGTTCTCTCCCATAGATTAGCGGTGGCGCCAAGCATCTCAACCCTATGCTGCATTCCCTTGAAAGCTTGCTCTGATTGCTTCTGAACTTGCTCCCAGGCAAAGCTGGCACACAAGGTATATCCTGCGCCAGGAACGAGGGGCACGACTGAGAAGAAGTAGGTAACTAGGCTCACGATCAACTGTCTTGACTCGGGGTTTCTAAAGGCAGCAAGGAGGAGCCAGTTATGACCGCCTTCGAAGAGCGAAGTGTGATAGAAGGGGTGGAGTAGTGGAAAGACATAGTCCTTGTAGGTCATGAGAAAACGCAGATCCTCTTCGCCGTCGAGATCGACTTTGAGCCTCTCGCGGAAGGTATTTCCAAATAGGAAGTGCTCCGGATTATCGCGTAGTGGTAGGTCGACAGTATTGAGTATATCGTTTGCGCGATTGTCAGTGCTTAGTGAGATATCACTGTCAATGTTGCTAGGCCAAGAAGCCGGTGTCGTGTCGTCAACCGACTCCGAGATAGTTATGCCAGGTGGTGTTGGGCCCGGAGGAGGGACTGGGGGTGAAGCAGATTCTTCAACCCGAGGAAACTCCTCATTATCGAGTTGATGAGTAATCTTCTGAATCATCTGCCTCCCCCTTTTGTTTCTAGCATTTCGTTTGACCTGAGCCTTCAAGCGCTGGCTCATTTGCCGCTGTTGCTCGGCATTGTCCATCCATACGGGCTTCGCATCGCTGAAATGACACGCTAATCCGAGCGCGACACAATTTCCGCAAGTCGGCTGAATCTCGTCACATTTCTTGTGGCGTAAGCGACAGATCCAACAGCTTCCATTCTTTCTCATTGTTTGTAATCGTGGTTATGCAAGAGTTGGGAAGCGCGGGAACTCAAATCTCCGCGCGGAGATACTTGGGCTAAGACTGCGATGATTCGCTAGAGGGTGACGGATATGATTAGTCATTGGAAAGGGTTCCGCGCGTTGAATACTACCGCGCGGAATGTCAACAAATTAGACTTTTGGTTGTCAGGACTCGATTAAGGGATGTAGGCAAAACCGTATATATAGGCACCCATCTGCGCAACAATGTAGTTTCGATTTTTACTCTTAATTTTCATCAGTCCACTTACTATGCCTTCGTTAACCGTGCTTGTGCTTGGCGGCACCGGCCCTGCCGGTATCAATCTGCTACGGGAGCTACTTCATCGCAAACACAAAGTGGTAGCATATGCAAGAAATCCTCAAAAGGTTCCTGAAGATTTGGCTTCCAATCCATCACTCGAGGTAAGTCTGGCGTATGATGGTCATCTAGAACGACGAAAGCGGCTAACTTTCCCAGATCGTCAAGGGAGAGCTGTCTGATAAAGCAGCCCTCGACCGAGCCGTGGCCAAGGTCAACATCGTCATTTCGCTCCTTGGACCTCTAATCACCGATCGTACGACGCCCCCAAACTCTATTCCCGACTTCTACAAGAACTCCCTGTTTCCCGCGATGCGCCGACACGGCGTTAAGCGAATCTTTGCAATGGGAACGCTCACCATCACCCAGAAGGAAGACTCATGGACTATGCTCCAGCCAACAATAAATCTCATGGTCCGCACCGTATTTTCGAACGCTTACCGTGGTATCACCTCGATTGGAAAAGCATTTGAGCTCGACGCCACGGACCTCGATTGGACCATATTCCGTATCTCAGCCATCCCTGGGGGCTCTGATAAGGAAAGCTGGGCGAAGGACAGGGAAGACGGAAAGCCTTTTGTTGGATACGTTGGGCAGAAGGGCTATACGTATTCTTTTCCACGAGGCGCGCTGGCAAGATGGCTTGTTGATGCTGCTGAAAGTGGGCTACAGGATTGGGTGCGCAAGGCACCTGCGGTTTCCAGGCTGTCTGGCAGCTGAACATCCCACTCTGGTCGGGTCTTCTCAACTTTGTTTCTTTTGATTTTGTTTAGTATGTAGCTGTTGTTTAGGTTTCTTGGACTGGCAAATGCTGGGCCTTTATTGTACGTGATTAATCCTTAAATACTTCTGCCAAGATGGCCTAATTCATGAATCAAGTATCTGGGACTGGGACATGATAATGCAAGTGCTTTTCAATAACCTAACTGCAAACTTCGAACGACCAAAATATTTCTCAGTGTAAAATTCGCTGCCTTTGCAGAAGGATCCTGTCTTGACGTCAGTGGTCAGAAGGAAATCGTGATCTCGTCAACGACGCCCTTGCGACTCCAGTACAAATAAGCTTCCGATGACCGTTAACCGTCTCCCATCAACTCAATCTCTTACTCACTATAAATGAGAATAGCAACATTTACCAATTCCTCACTCACACTGATTCGTTGTCGCCTTTTTAGCCCATAATTCTCAGCATGTCTTCTGATCTTACCACGTTCAAGGCCCTATCATTTGACTGCTATGGGACTTTGATAGACCAAGAGTCTGGCATGATTCGTGGCTTACAGCCTATCATCAGTCGTCTTCCTTTTGAAAGCGATTACAAAAAGAATCCTGTTTTGTTGATCCAGCGCTTTCATGAGCTTACCCAAGTCCTTGAAGAGGGGGAGCCTACCCTAAGCTACGGCAGTATCGTCTCGCGCTCGTTCAAAAGTCTCACAGACGAACTTAGCATTTCTGTACCCGAAGAAGAAATGAATCATCTTGAGTCCCTACCCGGGACTTGGCTACCTTTCCCCGACACAATTCCAGGCTTGCAAATTTTAAAGAAACACTACAAACTCATCATCCTCACTAACATGGATAACCTCAACGCCTCTTCAACTCTAAAGCACCTCCAGCCCGCTGAATTCGACAAGGTCTACACTGCCGAAGACATCGGTAGTTATAAACCCGCTAAGGCAAACTTCGACTACTTATTTGATCATCTCAGAAGCGATCTGAGCGTCGACAAGGATTGCGGGGAATTACTTCACGTAGCGAGAAGTTTGACTGCAGATCACGTTCCGGCCAAACGGTTCGGACTCAGAAGTGTTTGGATCTCCCGCGGCGGTGAAAAGAAAGAGGGAACAGGTGTCGGAGGTGATTACGAGAGGTTGAAAGAAAATGTGGCGTTTGAATGGAGATTTGATAGCATTGGGAAGTTTGCGGAGGAAGTCGAGAGACAATTCGCTGAGAAGACCGCGTAGAAATACGCGATTTTACGCTGCGGCCTGAATAGTTACAACGTACGGTCATGGATCATGGGTGAAGCAGGGCTGAGCGCTGAGTTATGCCCGGCAGATAGCTACGGTGCCAGATATGCAACTCATCGAGATGAAGCCTTGCTTTGTTTATATGGACTGAGTTCAGACTCAATGGCAGCCGTTTTTAGGCCCAAAGCATATGAAATTAGTATTGTTTCATCTTCTGCAGCAGCACGGCCCAGCGCAGTGGAACATGGTGCGATTCACTCACTCAGCCTCATTTCCCAATCGTGATTCAGTCCCGATGCTAACAAAAACTCAAAGACCTCGCTCGTTCTAGACCGTCTCAGTGCATGAAATGGGAAAATGTCACCCGCTATGACCAAAACTGCCGAAACGCCCAGGGCTCGGTGCGCTAAGACACATGGGATGGCCGCTATGTCTGAGCGTTTTACCAAGAATGTTCTAGTGAGTAACGTTTGAACACCAAACACTGACTCGCTCGACGCCACATCGCGTGCGCCGATCCTAACTTGCCCACGCCATGTCAGGAACAGAAGGACGATGAATCCTGTGCCGAGGCTCGTTTTTGAGGTGAGAGAAATAGAGTTGAGTTTTGAAGTCAACTGGAGAGTTGTATTTTCATCCACTATTGATGTGCAATCGTGCCGTAGCAAGCGAGTCGATCTTTGGGTCGGTCAAGACCCATTTTCTAAGCATATTTCTTTTGGCTTTTTTTTTTCTTCATCAACCTGAGACACGACATTCTATCTCCACTACGGAGCCTCTTCAAGGGTGATGGATAACGCTCCAAAGTGACAAGATGTCAAGAATGGATCTCAATTACGTACTGATCCGTAGAATAGCCAAATGAATTCCACGTTTTTCTTCTCACGAATCTGCAGCGGAAAAAGCCACATCCGTGAGAGACGACTAGGTTGGCCTAGCCTCGGCGCGAAAACAGTCGGCCGAGAACTCTAGTGCTGAAAAAATGCCAGGATTACCTTGATGCGTTAATACAGAACGGGCGCTCAGCTGCGAAGCGATGTCACATCGTGGATCTGTGCCTCTGGGCGATAAATCCTTCACATTCTTGGCCCATTCAGGGCCTTTTTCCCTCTTAATATCCGTGGGGGGCTGTCATTTCTCATCTGCAGTTCGCATCTCGTTCCTGAGATTCGACAGATTCTCTCATTAAACCAAATAATAATGGCGTGGGGCGATCTTCCTGTTGAAGGGCGGACGTTGGACCCTTTGAACGATGATCTTCGACACGGATTGACTGCCGTGACTGTTCTCGCTTTCATTTCGTTCTTTTCTGCGAGTACTTTGTTCTTTTATTTGGTGTATAAGCTTACGACATGGAGCTTGTTCATCAAGTCGCAGCCTTCGGGGCACTTTCAACAAACGACTGGACCGATTCAGAGGGCGATAGACTTTACGCTGGGTATTGATGGGATATTTGCCGAGAACGATCAAGACGCCAACAAGAAGGCAGACGGAACTGTTCCTACCGCCCCTCGACGACCGAATCAGTTCCTCGTCCTGATCATCAATCTACTACTCGCCGACATGCACCAAGGAGTAGCCTTCTTTCTCAACGCGGCGTGGCTCCGGAATAATGCGATCATGGTTGGAACAGCGTCTTGCTATACCCAGGGACTCTTCGTGTCGCTTGGTGACTTGGCCTCGTCCATGTTCATAACTTTAATCGCCTTCCACACATATCTTGCTGTTGTCAAGCGACGACAGACACCACAGAGGATGCTTTACGCAATGATCATCGCCATATGGATCTTCGTCTACGCCATCTCCCTCATTCCAATCGCCGTGACTCGCAATGGTGCGGAATTCGGAGGTTTCTTCGTCCGCGCCGGAAGTTGGGTAAGTACCGTATGCCCCATTGACTGTCGGCAGTCCACTAACATTATACAGTGCTGGATGAACCGAAAGTACGAGAATCTTCGACTCTTTACACATTACCTCTACATCTTCCTCGGCCTTGGTACAACATCCGTCTTATACCTCATCATCTTCTTCCATCTCCGTCGTCAAGCCCGATTTGAGTCTTCAGGATCACCAAGCCAGGCCGATACCATGCAACTCCAACTCAGCCGTAACCCTGCCTTCCTGATCTACCCCGTCATCTACGTCATGTGTACCCTTCCTCTTGCGGCTGGCCGTATTGCGACGATGGCTGGTGCAAATGTACCCAACGGCTACTTCTGCTTTGCAGGTGCCATGATCGCATCCAACGGTTCCTTCGATTGCTTGCTATTTGGCACAACCCGAAACACAATCGTCTTCGCCTCAAAGTACGATATATCGTCCGATGATGTTGGCCTGAGCACCTTCGCCTTCCTCAAAACACCTAGTCGTCGGTTCGGAAACACCATCTCGATTCAGGGTGGCCAACAAGCAGACGAGAATGTCGCCGGAGGATGGTGGTCATGGCCTGCTAGGGCAAGCGCTTCAGAGAACAGAAGCAGAAAGGGAATGACTCGCACCATCAGCCAAGAATCTCTGAGAGGACCGGCTATTCAGATGGATACCGTGACATCGGTGGTGGTCGAGGTTGACGACTCGGCGGAGAGAGACCCAAGATACCCAGATACGACAGCGAGCTCTAATCCTTCGCTACGCAGCGCGGAAAAGGATTATACGAGAACGATACAAAGAAGCATGGATGCCCATAGATAAGACTTTAATGTTGATACCAAGTAATGAAAATAGAAGCTTTAATGATATTGGCATATTGAGATATACACCCTGCAACTGGTATGCTGTCAAACATATGTACTGAGCATGATAGAAGTCATAACAACGGACAAGGTCATCACTTCGCTTTTAGGATTTTTCCTCTGAAGTCTCCTCCCGACCAGTCTCTGAAGCCTCCTACGAACCTGCATCCCCTGACCCTGCCTCTGAATACTCCTCCGAACCAGCCTCTGAATACTCCGAACCAGTATCTGAGTACACGGTCGCTGGGTTTCTTTCCAGCTCATCAAGCCACTCCTCGTCTGGTTCATACCATATCCTGGTCTTTGCGCACTTCATTTCGATGCCAATTTTGACGGCAGGCTCGGAGAGTTGCCACGGCGGTTCTGTGCCTACTGGCGACGTCCACGCAATGACGGAAAGCGCCGGAAACAGTGCCTCATGGTCGATGAGAGTTTTGACCATATCGTAATCCACAGGAATCAAATACCACCACGGGTCATAATCGTCCGTAAGTTCTTGACCTGGGAGCAATAGCGGGGTCTTTTCATAGATCTCAATGTCCTGCAAGAAAAGCACCTTCAAGCCTGGCGGTAGATGCTCTCTAAGCTTGGGCAACCACTCGATATCACCTCGATAGAGATAACGCCCAAAAAGAGCTTTTGGTGGGGCGGCGATATATTGAAGAGATTTGAAGTTGGCAAATTTCATTGGCTTGTCTTCGAAGTATGGGCGGTGACAGTCCCAATAAAGATCTATAATCTTGATTCTCTCCTGGCACGGTCTTAGAATTCGTGGAAAGTTCGGGGTACCTCGGTCTATTTCATTCATAGGGTGGTGAAACTCAAAGCGCTTGAGTTTCTTTGCATTCCGCAGAAGCCTTTCCAGAATCTTGTCTGTGTAATTGTAGACTTCTAGGTAGAGGGACTCTAGGTTCTCTAACGGAAGAGGCTGAACTAATTCAGAGGCATAACGATCGAGTCTAACATTCCGGAGGCGCAAATATGTAAGGCTGGGGTAGCGAAATAGTTTAATCTCATCCAAAGACAAAATGCGCTCGTCTGGGCCCCTGATATCGTAGGATACTATGTGCACTATTAGTCTCTATCATTGTTGTGATTCTTGACAAACTCACCGGTCTTCAGTCTAGGCTTAGGGGCCATACGTCCGGCTAGAAGCGAGGCCATGTTTTCAAAATCAGCCAGGCCGTCTCGGGCTCCAATGATGATGGTCTCCCCATTACTCAATGTGGCGGTCTCAATGTTGCGAAGGTCAAGGCAGAGGAGCAGCCAGAAATATCGAGCATCAACGTTTTTGACATCTAAATGATGAATCATGTTGAGGATCCTGGGATCTCCTTTGGCGACTCTGAGAAACCTTCTGAAATGTCTATCTCTGGAGAAGATCATTCTCCTGTAAAACATTGACTTGGCCATTGCGTTAATGGTCTTACTCGTCTGCATGAGAGGCCTGATTTGGCGTGGCTCGAGCTTGCGTAGAATCATCGAGAATATCTCGGGCGGTAGGCGATCCAGCCTCGTTTGTCCTTCCATATTTGCGGTGCTTGTCGTGATCAAGAGGTTTTTTTTTATAAAGAAGAAGGGATGAAACAAGCGGGGATGGATGATGTCCTCAGTGAACTTACTGAAGCACAGCAGAGGCTAGCCAGATATGGCTTAGTGCAAACCCCATATGGTGATTGACCAATCAACAGCCATCCTGCTGTATGTGAGATCAACACTCTCTGTTTTCTATGTGATTCTGTGACATATAATATCTATAAATTAGTATACTTAGCCGCGGTTATCTGTCTAGGTATATAGAGTACTTAAATTACAATATATTGACTTGACGTGCGCAATCAAACAGTCACTTCATTGCTACAATCGGAAATAAATCTAATATGTGCATCACCATCATCATGCATGTCATTGGCAAATGCGGTCACGAAATCACTCATGAGGTCCAGAGTTTAGACTGTGACAGTAAGGAGAGTGGAGGTTGTGCTGGCCTCGAACTGAATCCAAGCAGATCGATAGAAACAAACTGTTTTCCCTGTGAAGAAGCTAAAAGGCTGGCGGAGGAAGAGGAGAGAAAAAAGGCTACACGACTATAGACTGATCACAAACTGAATATAGAATAGTATGTAATGTGCATGATACACAAACCTTGAGTTTGAGCTACGTGTTTCTGTAATTTAAATGAAGAGCTGTGACTTAGATACAACGAGTGACATATCTTGATTCAGAAAGCCACGCCACGTATAAAGAGCTCTCCTCAGCATTTCCAACATCACGAGAAAATATTTCTCACACGTCGAATTTATCAAAATTGACATCATTCGACCTAAAACAAAATGTGCAAAACTACAACGGTACGGAACTGGGGTAGCTGTGGTCGCCTTATCTCGTGGCACAATCAAGAAGAACTTTGCCCTGACAAAGAAACAGAACAGTGCAACATATCATTGGGGTGGGAAGAGAAACATTCGCGTTGGGTTTGCCGACCATGTGTCGACGCGGAAATTGAGAGGAATAGACGCTTAAGTCAAAGATAGTCGTGCTTCATTTTAATATTACACCTAAAATGTCTAGAACGCCTTGAGACACACTACTTATATTTATATCTCTACCAAAATTAGATTGTTGTGGCCAGTAATGCATCTTATCATGAGGCTCATGAGCGCAAATAGCCCCCATACCAATTCGTCATGTCAAATACACGTCACACACAAAGTATCCAACCGAGACACCAATTTGTCGTTATTACCTACATACTATACTTGTATCTGTTTACCTTTGAGGGAAATCATAGCCACACAGCTAATTGAGTTAATATCTACGTAGCATCACACTTAATCCTATCACCTACGCATGGTTGTAGGACCTCTCTGCTGATACAGGCTCTTAGAGACAGGTTTCGACTGCAGATCTAGCGTGCCTGGTGCATGAGGACAAACATTTAGCTGAAGGCAATACTGCAGAAGAAGCAACCGACAGTGATGACTTGTTAAAGCGGAGTCGAGGCGAACCAGCATTAGTTGTTGATCGCCATGCTACTGTATTTACCCAAGCTCCTTTTTAGTCCGGGGAAGACTCCAGAGCCTGCTCAAGCTAGTGATACTCTCGGCTCCCTGCAACTCTCCGACCCTTGACAAAAACCTGTGTCACATTCCTATCATCGCCCGTCATAACATACTTCTCAAACAACCCCCTCAACGAGTCTTCCTCTTCTCTTGGAGTCATAGCAGACTGTAGTCCTGTTGTTGTGGCCACCCAAATGGCATCAAACTCTTTACCAACGCCAAAGTTCCCGATCTTGTCTTCGAGACATAAGACCTTGGCGCCTCCCATTGTTGCCAGATAGAATACTTCCTCGAGTGAAAGAGCCTTGTCTTCGCCCTTTGACATAACTTCGCGTGCATTCGAAGCTATCATCGCTTGTCTGATGACTGCTAGCATCTGAGATGCCCAGCCGCCTCCGCTGTCGGTACCAAGACCGCATTTAATTCCACGACGGAGGAAATCGCGGATAGGTGCTACCATGAAACCACCACCGACTGTCATGTTGGCAATGGGACAGTGAGCTATACCACACTTGAGCGCCTCAAGACGTTCCTTTTCGTAGTTGGTCATAATGGTGCAGTGCGCAAGGATGCTGCGCTTGTTGAGTAAACCATAGCTCTCATACAAATCGGCCTCACTCCCTTTAAACTGCGGGAACAGCTCCTTTGTGAAGTCGATCTCTTGCTGGGCTTCGTTGAAATGTGTTTGGATGGCCAGAGTATCGTCTGCTTGTACCATGTCTCCAAGGCCACGAAGAAGTTCGTCAGTGCAGCAGATTGCGAATCTTGGTGTAACAACCGGCTTTACCAACCCCTCATCACCTTCTCTGGCAGGGTTCAGGGCACGAATATGAGCAATGCACTCCTTGGTCTCGCGAAGAGAGTCCTCTGCGCTTTGCTCACGAAGATAATCTGGTGCATTTCTGTCCATGTTGCATTTCCCGACAAACGCGCGTTGGCCTTTCGCGTGGCATATGTCTGCTAGGATGCGTGTCGCTTCAGCATGCCGGGAGCCATAGTATGAGGCAGTCGTAATTCCCTGCCGTAAAAAGTCCTGGACGGTATGCTCAAACATCTTTTTCGCGTAGTCTGGATCAGAGAAGCGCGCTTCAAAGGGAAACGTCACTTGGTCGAGCCAATCGAGGATGTGAAGGCCTTGACCGAGACCCCGCATCGGCCATTGAGGTGCGTGATTATGAATATCGACAAACCCTGGGATGAGAAATTCACCGTGAGATAGAGTGTGAGTTTTGGCGTCTGAGGGAACTGCATCTTGGGGGACATCGGCAGGGTTCTTCCAGAATCCTGTGATGACGCCGTCGCTGATAACGAGAGTTGCATCGTCCACAAATTCCAGAGTTTGGAGGTCAAGAGAGTGAATGGCTGCGCCACGGAACACCACGACAGATGGCATCTTGGACAATCGAATCTAGGATTTAGTCACGTAGTAAAGGGAAATAAGAAGAGTGTAGGTTGATCTTCATGCTTACATCGGAAGGTTCAAATACCGTGGGGCAGCTCCGATAAGCGTCCCCTCCGCGTATACCCACCCAATCACAGCGAAGGCGATTATCGGGCCAGCTCGGTCGAGTTTGAGAGTAGGCCCCCTCTTGTTCCTCAGCACTTAACCTTCGTAATACCCTTGACGGAGTCAGTATGGAGCATCGCTCAAGTGAGGCAATTGCCCTTCGATCCACACAGCGAGCGTCGCGTAGTTGCCTGTCATGCGCATCTCGCAAAGTCAAATGCGATAAATCTGTCCCTTGTTCACGATGCATCAAGCGTGGCCAGGCTAAATCATGTGTCAGGGAAATGGTCCTTATTCGCGGCCAGGTGACCACGTCTGTGAACCACCCTGATCTTGTTTGTGTCATTGAAGCTGATGAGATAACAGATGGCACGACGGCCCCGAAACTCCATCATACCAAGAGCTCAAGGAAGAGAATGAACGTCTAAGGCGAGAGATCACTACGCTAAAGGAACAGAAAGGGCGCCTCCAAAGCAATACACTCCCGCAAGCGCATATACCCAGCAGATCAATTGACGATATAGAGTATACTCCAGGCGAGCTTGCTGATGGCTTGTGGGAAAGCCTGGCTTTGGAGTCTGATACTAGCAAGCCCCGTGTATCAGATTGGGCGGATATCATCCTGCCCAATGGAGAGTGCAGTAGGAAGCTGATCGAGTTCGATATGACTTGGGATTCTTGGGTTCATTATGCTCTGGAATATCCTCAATTCAGAGACGAATGCGATAGGTTCGCAGGAAGTTTAGAGGCAGGTCTTGCACTTGATGAAGCCGACGTGTCATGGCTCGCTGTCTATTTTGGTGTTCTCAGTGTAAGTAATACATCAATCAATTGAGCTCACTCGGTGGATGGTCGAACTGACGAGTGGTAAAGACATCTCTTTTGATGATGGAAGATGACGAAGCTCAGAGCCTGCCAATTCCCCCAGGAGTTACCATAGAGCAAGCGTCTCAGAATTGGTACGAGGCAGCCCTTTTCTGCCTTCACAAGGCAGACTTCCTGCGAGTACCCAACGTGCACAGCGTGCAAGCAATAGCTGTCCTATGCATGGCCTTCAATAACCGTGGGGATTCAGAGATGGGTCATCACTTGCGAGTGTCAGCGATCCGAATTGCACAAACTCTCCAATTAGCTCAGGATGATGGCAAACGTGGGGAGAGACACCTGAGCCTTGAAGCAGAGCGCCGTTTGTGGTGGACACTGGTTATCTGCGAATGGTGAGTCTTCAAGATATCGATATCGCGCCCACGCTAAATAACTTTCTTGCAATCAGGTTGAACTTGACCCATGAGTCACCAGTTATAGACGAGTCTGACTTTAGCATTCCCCTGCCTTCTGTCTCTCACCGTGAGGCACAGGATACGCTCGTGGACCCCGTTCATTATCACATCTTCATGGCGCGAACATCTCAAGTTATATACAGGTTTCGCATATCACTGAAATATGGTGTCAAGTCGTTGAAAAATGCCATCGACATCGTCAAATCTGCTGATGAAGGGCTAGCGAGCATCATTGACTCTTTACCAAGCCACTTGCAGCCCGAGAGCGATGCGGTCACAGACGCAGAGATTCAAGCTCTTGAGAATACCCAACCGTGGATCAAGTGGCAGCGCTACGACTTGACTCTGGTCCTCCTCCATCTGCGCATGCATATCAACCGCGTTCTTCAAAAGCAGTGGCTATCATCCCCCGAAGAATATCACTGGGCACGAACAGTTAGCGTCACATCTGCCATGAGCCTTATTTGGATTAACCGAAGCTGGGACCAGCCGGCATCAACTAGAAAGCAGTGGTAAGATAACACCGCCTATACGCTTACTTGTAGCATATTGAATTCTTTAGGGCGCTGTCGTATCATATTTACTCTTCCGCAATGTTTCTGCTGCGGGAATGCCAAAGCACCAGCTCCGAAGATAAAGGGAAGTATCTTGATGCTATTGAAGCTGGGCTTGTCTTGCTGGACGCTGTTGAGTCACATAACCTACTAGCTCGGCATGCTGCTCGAGTCTTGAGAAGAAGTATGAACGAAGGCAGTACATGAATATATTTCAGGTTACAGAATATTTGAAGCTATCCATCCTGTGATACTGGGCGTTTCCACAAATTTACCATAGAGGAATAAGGTTATGGAAGAACTTTGGCATCCTTTAGTGTATCAAAAACCTTGCTCAGGGCCTCCCAGCTATCTTCATATCTTGTTCAACGTTAGCCAGATTCAGTATTTCTGAAGGGTTTCAACTTACCCATCCCAGCCAAGCTTTCGGGCTTTACTCATACTAATCACCAGATCAAAGTTCCTGCCCAGCACAAAACCGAGGAATCCCCACGTAGCCCCCTCCAAAGCCTTTTCGTCCAAGCCCTCTCGCTTAGCGAGCTTTTTCCAAGCTTCCTTTACCTCCTCCTGCTGGCTCCATTTAGTCAAATCGATCGTCTGCTCCATCTTGCCTGGTTTGGTCACACCCTTGAGACCGGAAGTCTCCTCATGCAAGCTAAGTGGAGGAACGGGGTTCAAATCCGTGGACGAACTCAAAGGGTGAGACTTCTGGAATTGCGAGGCATCGGCCTTGGTTCCAAATCGTTCTGCGACTTTGGGCCACAGGTTCTGCCAGCTCTCAACATCACCATTGACGACGTTAAAAGCTTCGTTAGCAGCCGAAGGTTCAAGCACAGCCCACTCACAGAACTTTGCATGAAGGTCAGCGCTTGTGAAACTGTCGAAACCAGTATAGAACCTCTCTGAACCAGGGAAGATGAGATCTTGACCAAGCTCTTTGCTGATTGCTGCGTAAATGCCAACCGCCGTAGCCAGGTTCATGAAGTTTCCTCGTGCATAGCCAATGACATCATTGGGATAAGTGACATTCCAGCTGACGCGACCGTTGGACTTGTCGCAGAATTTCTTCAGGATATCCTGCTGACGGTAGTAGAAGTTGGGCGGAAAGGTTGACTGGTCAGTTTGCCAGGGATCAGACTCGAGCATGGGATTCTTGACGGGTCCTAGATGGACACCATATTGCTTCGCTCCCGTAACAAGCAGGAATCTCTTGAGGTTTTTGTCAATACCGCTCTTCACGAGGGCATTTACAAAAGCCTGTAGCATATCGCCATTAACATTCCAACTCTCCTGTTCATCAGCCTTTTCGAGGTAAGCGGCAAAGAAGACATATTCAGCCGAGATACCCTGCAATTTCTTAGCTACCTCCTCGGCGTTCCCGGTGAGGTCGATGTGTCTGTGCTCGACATTGGAAGGGAACTCTTCTTTCTGAGAACGCGAGAGGGAGTAGACTTTGCTCCATTTCTGCGGGTTCTGGCCAAGCTGATGAACAATTTCTCGACCCAGAATGCCTGTCGCGACCGAGTGTAAGATATGCAGCCATGGTTCTTGGATTATCACCTACCTGTAGCTCCAACAACAATAGCAGTCGACATGGTGTGTGATTATCTCGGTCTAAGGCTCGTGTATCTTGGAATCGAAGTGGTGGTAGTATTGCAAAGTAGATGGCAGTGGTTTGCTTATAGTTTACCTACGGTTTGCTTGTGGCTTGCTTATGGCTGCTTATGTGCTGACCCATAATGAGATCAGCCATACATCACTCTCCCCACCATCGACACAATGATGACCAATTTATTACAAACACAATGCGACTCTGAATAATATTATGACTGTGCATTACGATGTTTTTCGGTGGAACTGAAGCAAGCAATTGTCAGACTAGAGTCCAATGTCACAAAAGGATTTAGACAATCTGACAACCACGGACGGATTATTATAAGCTCAGCCTGTCTGAATAGTTCACTTCTCGCCTGATATAAAGTACATAGTCTTCCAAGACGTAGCGGGCATACCACATATCTACAGGAGGTGGAATCCGAACGCCTTGCGCGCTTCATCATTCAGACCATCAAGGCCCGCATATCCTTTCAGTGTACTCTCATTCAGATCGTTCCCATCAGCGTAATCAGCAGAAGGTCGACCTTCTAATGTAGCAAGAAGCTGATCTTTGACGTAGGCTTCATTCGCTGGTATTGTAGGGCACGCAGCTATGAAAGCTACTGACGCGTTGTTCTTTCCAAGGTGCTCAGTATCAACAGCATGACAAACCTGGAAGTGATTTTGGTCAGATAATTGGACGTAGATGGTTATAAGGATTTACTTACATCACAATGCCACCAAACAGTATCGCCAGGCTGTACTTCCGGCATGTGAATAAGGCATTCTTCGAGCCTAAGATGAGGATGAGATGACCGACTCAAGCGCTGACTCTCTGGCTTCATAGTCCCTGGGAACCAACCGGTGAAGTCGCCGAACGTCCATTTCTCAGCGTCCATGATATGATCAGGATCCTTCGGTGGACTGAAGAAAGGGCGCAGAAGGAGGTATGCGATTACAGTCTTGACGTTGGGGTATACCATGATGGTCCCCTCTCTCGGTGCCGTTGGCGTCAACGCAGTCCATCCTTGGAACGTGCGCAACACCGTCGAGTGAGCAGGGCCCTTGTAAAGCTCTTGGTTGGCATTCTTTCTCGCTTCCAGGTCATATGCATCGTGCTCTTCTGGTCTACCAGAAAAGATCTCATCATAGACTTTTCGGTAAGTTGGATCAGCCCAGCGACACAAACTTCCAGCATCAATATGAGGACCTAGCCCAAGGAAGGGCTGGCCTGGTGCACGATCGCGAATTCCATCAAGATAGACAAGAGGGTCGGGCGAAGTATCTCCTGCAGAGTACTTCCAAAGCTCATTCAGCTTTCGCTGCAGCTTCAGGTGATTTGGATGGGAACGAAGGATGTTTTGTGTTGGTGAGTTGTACAAGACCAGCATCGATGGGCTTTCCTTAGGCCATGCTTGGATAGAGTCTTTGTTATCCGCAACATATTTCTTGAGGTCTGAGTAAAGTACTGTTGCTTCTTTCCTGGGAACAGTGTTGCGACAGACGAACGAGCCGATCCTCTTGATCTCAGCCTCTTGCTCCGGCGAGAAGCCGTGTTCGATAATTTGTTGAGTGTCGAAGACGGGGATAATAGTGTTTCCCTTCTCGATAATCTCATCAGTGATGTTTTCAAGCTCTTTGCAGACCTTTATCCAGCTTTCTTGTAGTGCCTTAGCGCCATACTCACTGATGATGGCTTTCTTGGCCTCCAAGAACTCAGGGTCTTTGGAGGACGCTGTAGTCTCAGAGGTGTACTCGGGCCACGCAGGCCACTGTCGGATAGGGCCAGGCATTTCGATAAGTTTTCTGATTGAAAGAGGTTAAATTTCACGGTTCGGTGATATCCTATCCTTTTATCTCTTAGCTCTACATCATGTCTCTGACTTTGACATGCTTGATTGACGAATAACTCACTAGTGGGTGAGCTCGGCCGAGCTCGACCGACTTCGGTTCAGATCGTGAAGCTATTGGTCAGAACTCAATCAAATCGTTATCTGCTCAGGATCTAGATCCGATGCGGGGAGTTGCGGGCCCGATAAGACCAATTCCCTGGGTTTTGTCTTCCCCAGACTTGATAAGCCAATGACAATAAACGTATTTGTTCCAAGATATAAGATGCTCCGTGTAACCGGTCATGAAGAAGAGCCAAACTCCTGGTTCAGTTCATCATACAACGGCGACAATCTTGATACATCATGGCATTCGAACGAAAGCATGTCTCGAGGCTTGTGCCTGCAGATCACAAGATCCTCATGCCTCTCCTCCTGGCAGTGACAATCGTGAACTCAGCTGTACGTACGGATCCACTGCTCTGCAGAGTCAGCTAACAACATACAGACGCTGGGTTACGATTCCTCCGTCATGAATGGCCTCTTGATCTTGCCGTCCTACTCGGAATACTTCCACTTGACAACGGCAACTGAAGGTCTCAACAATGCGGCCAATTGGATGGGCAGCATCTTCGGTGCCTTTCTCATGGGTCCAATTCCTGATCACTTCGGCCGCCGACGCGCAATCTACATCGCATCGATCGTAACCACAATCGGCATCATCTTGCAGGCTGCTGCTCAGAACATCCCCATGTTCGTGGTCGCCCGTTTTCTTGTTGGTGTTGGATCCGCTATCAGCAATGGTGCTGCACCGACTCTTCTTGGCGAGCTACTCCCTCCACGCCGACGAGCCCGCGTTCTTGGTTTGTTTTTCTCGTGCTTCTACGTTGGTAGTTTGACCTCGGCCATCATCAACTACGGAAGTCAGAACATACACAGCACATGGGCGTGGCGGCTGCCTTCTCTCCTCCAGTTTATTCCCAGCTTATTGGCTGTCATGATCGTTCCATTCGTACCGGAGTCTCCACGATGGTTGATCTCTGAGGACCGGAACGAAGAAGCTCTCGAAGTTCTCATTATCATGCAAGGAAAGGACAAGACCGACCTTCAGAAGGGAAGTGAGCAGTTGGAAGAAATTAGGAGCACAATCTTGCGCGAAGCTCAAGAATATCCTCGCAACCCCTGGAGGGAGATGATTTCCAGTGGACCCAACAGGCGGAGACTGGCCCTTCTATGCAGTTTTGGGCCCATGATCAACTTGTTTGGTAACTTCATTATATCGTAAGTCATACCATTGTGGAAGTGCTTGATCCATAAGTCTGACAATTGCAGGTTCTACCTCACCAAGATCCTCAACCAGGCTGGCATAACCAATACGACAACTCAGACACAGATCCAGGTCATCATCAACTGCTGGTCATTCGCGGTCGCTGTACTCGGTAGCTTCATGCTAGATATTCTCGGGCGAAGATTGCAGACCTTCATCGGTGTTGGCGGAATGGTCGTTACCCTCTTACTCATCGGTGGCCTCATCAAGCGTAGGTTCTAGTACTTATTTGGTCTGAAGCTTGCTAACGAAGACTATACAGGTTTCGGCGAAAGCACCAACAATTCCGCCATATACGGGACTATTGCTGTCATTTTCCTCTTCCAAGGATTTTACGCCTTTTCGATTACGCCAATGACAAGCTTGTATCCAACTGAGGTATCACCATTCAAGCTTCGTGCTACAGGCATTGCCATCTTCCGCATGCTTGACTCCAGTGCTGGGTAAGAAAGATCCATCTTTCGTGGTATAAACTCGACTAACAACATAATCTAGTCTTCTTGCTTCTTTTGCAATGGCTTATGCAATGGCTGATCTGGGATGGAAGTTCTACTTCATTAATGCTTCTTGGGACTTTGTATTTCTCGTCATCGCCTATTTCACCTTTGTGGAAACGAAGGGCTTGGAACTGGAAGAGATCAATGCGAAATTTGGAGAGTCAACTGTGGTGGAGGTTGTAGTAGAAGACTCCGCATCCAATGACATGGATAGTAAGGATGAGGGCTGGACGGTTAAAACCCAGCCCCAGTAATCTTGCAATAGGTTTTCATTCTGTCGGCTAGAGTTACTTCGCAGATAGACACAAGTAAATCGAGTAATGGATAATCGGTTCTCTAATATCACTTTCATGACCCTTGCCTAAACCACTCGGCATGTCCACCGGGATTCGAGTCCTTTCCCACCGGGAATGACGATTGCTCCCACCGGGATGCAACCCTAAACCCCTTACGAGCACCATGAAATTCTTTACTGACCTTCCCCATATAGATCGGATCTCCCTTCTCCGCATCTGCAGTTCCTGACATAGGTCAAGCTCCATCTCGCATTCAACCTACATTGGCGCGGCAGTCTAAACTAAGCATAATGTCTAAGCTCTGCACCATCACCAACAAGTGTCCAGCTTGCGAAGCTGATCGCGAAGCATTGGCGCGCACTCTATCCGAGACACGACATCGTATGTTCCCCAGAGTTTCCGGTACGGGTCGCTTCATGTAGATCGCTGCCATAACGCAGCATTGGTGCACGTATTTTATCCAAATTAATCACAAGGAGATGTTTCGTGTTTCCTATTTGTGGAACAGAAATCTCGTGGCAGATCGTCAGTCAAAGCATCGGCTAAATGCCATATGGAAGGTCCCCCGGATCTGCAAATGTAACATTAAACTTGGCGCTCCAATGACAGTCAGAGCTCCGGCCCAATTCGAATGGTGATATGCGTAAGGAGTTGTCTGATTTCGTGGTTTATGGGTATCGATGCCATGGATATATAAACAGCTGCTGATCCGGCGTACCATCCGTTCCATCAAACCGACCGATCAAAAAAACCAGCTTCAGCTTCATCATGGTCGTGGTCAAAGCCTCAGCCATCTTTTTGGGCCTTGCGTCCCTAGTTCTTCCTGTCAGCGGTCAAGCTGTTAACGACGTGGCCGATGCGTTCGACCTGACTCAGGTGTCCCTCACTGATAGTCGATGGATGGACAACCAGAACCGAACACTGAACTATCTTCTATCGGTTGATCCCGATCGTCTGTTGTACGTGTTCCGCAAGAACCACGGTGTCGACACAAAGGGTGCACAGACAAACGGCGGCTGGGATGCACCCGACTTTCCCTTTCGCAGCCATGTCCAGGGCCATTTTCTTACAGCCTGGACACAGTGCTACGCTTCCGCCGGTGTCAAAGAATGCGGCTCTCGAGCTACATACTTTGTCCAGGAGCTCGCGAAGTGCCAAGCCAATAACGCAAAGGTTGGCTTCAACAAAGGATATCTCTCTGGTTTCCCGGAAAGTGACATTTCTAAAGTAGAGGACCGGACGCTCAGCAACGGAAATGTCCCTTACTACGCTATCCACAAGACCCTGGCTGGACTACTGGACGTTTACCGCCGGATGGGTGACCAGACCGCCAAAGACACCATGCTCTCACTTGCCAGTTGGGTTGACACTCGCACCTCAAAGCTTAGCTACAACCAGATGCAGAGCATGCTGCAGACTGAGTTTGGTGGAATGAACGAAGCCCTCGCCGATATCGCTTTTTACACCAAGGATTCAAAGTGGCTCAAGGTCGCTCAGCGCTTCGATCATGCTGTCATCTTCGAACCGCTGCAGCAGAACACCGACAAGCTCTCTGGCCTGCACGCCAACACTCAACTCCCAAAGTGGATTGGTGCTCTTCGTGAGTATAAAGTTAGTGGTGATAAGAAGTACCTCGACATTGGTCGAAATGCTTTCAATATCGTCGTTCAACGGCATTCCTACGCCATTGGTGGAAACAGTCAGGCCGAACACTTCCGAGCTCCCGATGCTATTGCTGGGTTCCTCACTGATGATACTTGTGAGGCATGCAACAGTTACAACATGCTGAAACTCACTCGCGAGCTTTGGGCCCTGAACCCAACGGACGCTTCATACTTTGACTTCTACGAGAAGGCCCTCCTGAACCATCTGCTTGGTCAGCAGAACCCCAGCAGTGATCACGGACATGTCACCTACTTCACACCTCTCAAGGCAGGTGGCCGTCGCGGAGTTGGTCCTGCTTGGGGTGGCGGTACCTGGAGCACTGACTACAACTCATTCTGGTGCTGTCAAGGTACAGGAGTCGAGACTAACACCAAACTTATGGACTCGATCTACTTTCACACTTCTGATACACTCTACGTCAACCTATTCACTCCTTCGAAGCTCAATTGGTCCCAGAAGAAAGTTTCTGTCACTCAAACGACTGACTTCCCTGAGAGCGATACATCCACATTCAAGATCTCTGGTGATACCAGTGAATGGACTCTTGCAGTCCGTGTCCCATCTTGGACATCTAAAGCCTCCATCAAGGTCAACGGCCAAGCTGCGAATGTGGCCATCCAGTCCGGCAAGTACGCTCTGATCAAGAGACAGTGGAAGTCTGGAGATACTGTCACAGTCCAACTCCCCATGAGCCTCCACACCGTTGCCGCCAATGACGATCAAACCTTGGGTGCGATTGCTTTTGGTCCAGTCATTCTGGCTGGTAACTATGGCCAGTCTACCCTGAGCGGCAACCCTACGATTGACCTAGCAAGTATCAGGCGAAAGAGTAACACTGGTCTGACATTTGGAGCTACCTCTGGTGGAAAGGCTGTCGAGTTGGGTCCTTTCTATGATGCCCAGGGATTTAACTATGCTGTTTATTGGAAGTTGAGTGGAAAGCTTTCCGGCTGATTTGTTGTGTAGCGGGCTTGAGGGCTGTCGAAACTTGATGACAGTTATGAATTGAGAGGACGAGGCGCTTGGAGAAGTGGCTGGGAGGATTCTTGTATATTGAATATAGCTCAAGTACATAAGGGGACTTATAACCGCAAATACTAACACTCGGTGCACCAGGATCGGTGAACCTTCACTCCTGATCATAAAGGTGATCGTCAATTCTGTATCTGTTAGCAAGGTAGTGCCAGTTACCTCCGCTTCTGCAGAATCACATTCCAGTGGCCTGTATTGAACTGCATGGTAATAAACTGGCGAAAGTCGACCATTTGCCCAGGTACCTCTGTGATATCATATCTGGTGAGGATATTGGCAGCAATCATTCTCATCTCCGCCCAAGCAAAACTGTGAAGAGATCGAGGGTTAGTATGATGCAAAATAATTTTCGAAGGTACTAAGTCAAGAAGACCCACTTGATGCCTATGCACGAGTGCCTTCCGGCAGAAAAAGGAAAGTACGCTGTCGTACTGCCAGGGGACGTCAGCATGTGTCCCTCCAAGGGGTTGCAACAACATACTCAGCTGCAGGGTAATCGCCTCTCTCATTGTCAGGGAGCCATCTCTCGGGGATGAAGCTCAATGCATCTGGCCAGTATTTCTCATTGCGATGAAGATCTCGATAAGAGGCCGACACCACTGTGTGTGGAGGCAAGTCGTATCCCATTAGATTGATCCACTGGTCACCGGTACGGCGACCCATCTCAGATGCAATTGGATGCAGGCGAAGATTTTCCTTGATACAAGCTTCCAGGTACTGGAAGTCCTCTGAATCTCGAACAGTCTTGCTCACAATAATATTATCAATGTCATCATGTCTGATAGCAGGGAGGGATGAGAGTAGCTTAGCACGAACTCGAGGGTTGCGTGCAAGCTCCAAGAACAAACAGGCAATAGTACCAGAGGTCGTTTCTGAGCCAGCGAGGAGGATCTCGGACATCTGGTCCAGGATATCCCGCGAATTCATTGCCTCTTCGTTATCTGGCCTTTTACCATTCTCGATGAGGTGCTGGAGGAGATCTGGCGAGTGTTGCTTCTCGTCTGAGCGCTGACGAACGATTGAGTCAATAGCCTTTGAACGTCAGCGACACTCTTGTCAGCAGCAGAAACCTATTGTACCATAATCATTTGCTTGGGCCAATCGAACTCGACATTGAACCCAATCCGGCGTAAGAACCTTTTGACGTAGACGTACTATGAAGCGATCACTTATAAGCAATACATTCATAACAGGTACTTGAAATCGCACCTTGTATCGGTCTGCCAGACCGTCAAAGATGGCTCTCGGAACGGACTTCCATGTCTCATCCATCTGCGGATCGCCAGATGGTTCATTGGGCTTCACCTGCCCGAAGCCCTTACTGAATGAGCTTTCTCCCATGCTATCGCATCTGTCAGCATCAAGACATACCGATGCTGAACTCCATTGGTGTGCTTCAAGCGTACATATCAAGTGCGACTTTGTGAAGGTCATCCATTAGATCAGTCTGGACACCTTCTAAAGTCGAAGTATTTCCAGCCAGAAGCGTCGCGTAGGTTTGGAGAAGGTCTCGCATTACGCCCTTGAAGACTGCCTCCAAGTTATCTACATAGCCAACTGTGAACGCCGGGGAAAAGAACCTCTTGAGGCGCTTATGCGGATGGAATCGGCTGTAGACTTATTAGAACAACTCATCTTCGGGCCATGATCTGGTCAAGGCCGGACTTCCATACTAACATTTCCCCAAAGAGACCTGGACTCGTTCGATCTCGAGAAATCTCAGCATACATGGCAACCTTGGGGAGGTCAATGGTTGACAGGATCTGCTTCAAAGACTCTTTATGGGAAACCCAGACATGTCTTGGACCAAGGCGACATATCGGGCCATACTTTGTGTGACTGCGCTGTACAAGCTTCCAGATTTCACCAGTAGAAAAGAGATATCGTAGGTGGAAAGTAGTCAATGGTGCGTACCATGGTCCTGGAATCTTTTGAAGTGGAGAACGAACAGCACGAAAGATACCGAGCAGTGTTGAGATCAGAAGGTACGTCAGGATGGTAACAGCCAAAGCAACAAACAGAAGCTGCATCTTGGAGAGGCTTGAATGCGGAGATCCAAGAAGAGAGAGATTCATTTTGAGGCTTTGGCGCAAAAGTTAAGTTGCATACGAGGGATACTACTTGGCGACCATGATACTTGGTCGCGTTATATACGGCTTGGATTCCAAGATACTGGTGACATGTTTGACAAGCTCGATTGGGTTAGTCACAGGTGATAGTATCTTCAACTTGCAGCATCAAGAGGCAGTGTACCGAGAACCTTCGTTTCACAGAGAGACTGAGGACATGGCGCTCGGCTTCCGAAGGACTCCAGCCCTGGATGAGCTCAGCTCGAGTAGTGCATGATAGAAATGGACCTTCCTGATTATGCCATACGTGCGATACTGCATGAAGCTTGAATAGCTTTGAATAAATACCTTAGCATAAGAAGGTCCGTGTCCTTGGTGAATATAAAAGCATTGACGTGACGTAAGCCCAGCTACGCCCGTCCACCCACTGCCAATTTCGTGTTTTTATGCAACTTTCGCTTCGACCCTAGTTTTCGTATCCATCGGGCAGACGATGAGTTAACAGAATATTCCCTCGCACTAGGTAGTTACTCCCAGTCTGAGGGGTTATTCAGGCGGGTTGATGCCAACCGTGATCAGATCGACAGCCCTAGTTGGCTTATCACACCCATGGCTCGAGTTTAAAGTTTGGTACCAGTGTGACTTGTCCAACGTAGTGCCCTGGGAGGAATGTCGATCAATTTTAGGGGTATCTCTCTTTCTTATCTTATCACCCCTGTTAAGCAACATGCCATAAACATATTAGCTCTCAGGCACTTTTCTATACATTTGCTGGTAGTTAAACGGCAGATGGACTACATGAGAGCCTACATATCGTATGATTGTAAGCCCCCTCAATGCCGTTTCTCGTATAGCCATTGATTACGGGCACCTGGGCTTAGCGCGAGGCACTACTATCCGTTAGACCATCCGAGCCATGCCGGCACATCAGATAGCTTCGCAGTTGAATGCCGGAGTGCCGTGTGATTCCGTCGTCGTTTACGCAAGCCGCCTTACGATCCAGCGTGTGGTTATCATCCATAGGTCTAAACCTACGTAGGAAAAGAGTGTATCGGACAATTATGAACGGAGCCATCCGTAGATCCGGCACTTGAAGGCACTCTACTGATACGTATGGCGTTAGGGTGAGATGATGAAATGTCGCCTGTGTACATCGCCAGAGCCAGAGGCCCATATTCAGGACCAGGATCACCGTACTACGTTCGAGCTGGAATGTTCCCTTTATAAGCTACATATGCTACAAACTCGACAATCCATAGAATATTTACACAGTGCCTAGTCTCAGGTCGACAATCTCAGGTAGTTTCCCACTACGTGGGTTTACTTTCATATCGCAGATGGATTTGAAACAAACCTTGGCCGGAGCAACCAGACCCATCTCAATATGCTTCTTCAACATAGGTCTCTGCTCATTCAACAGCTCAATGATGGCGATCCCAGAGGCTGCAGGAGGGGGCTCGGCAGTGTTGATCATTATCTACATAGCATCCTTCGAATCTTGACGGGTGACTACTACCTGGAAAGCTTCTATAGCCACAGTCTTCAAAACAGCTCTAGCCAGTTGACGCAAATGCGATATGTCTAGAGAAACAGGACCTAATCGAACGGCATGGTTGTTACGGCCAAGAAGACGGAAGGTTGACTTATCAACCCACTCTGCGCGATCCCCCGTTGGATAACGAATGACGGGTGTCAGGTCTCGGATCAAATTGGTAACAACGAGTGTTCCGGGGATATTTGGTTGTTCAGTCGGAACAAGGTCACCATCTTTATCGACGAGGATCTCAACTATGGCTGCGGCTGAGAGTACAATATGCTCTGCAGGATCTGGTCTTCCAGCAGACACGGCGACGACACCAGCATCTATCGAGCCATATATACAGCTGTGTATAGTGGCGTTAGGGAAGAGGTTAGCCACCGCAGAGACTTGATCATCAAACATTGGCTCGCCACCAAACATGACAGCCGTCACTGATGGGAACCTTTCTTGCTTGGGGCGGCAATAAGAGGCCAGACGGACCAACGATGTTATGGTTGAGAGCACGGCCGTTACACGGCATGTTCGTAGAAGCTCAGCAGTAACATCGGGCGCCATCAAGCCTCCGATTGGTATCTGGATGGCAGGTATAGGCAGAGAAATAACGCTCAAAATGTGCAACAGAAATGAGCCATAGAGATCTCCGGCATAAAAGAGATTGCCGACTCTGTCACCTGCACGCAGACCTGCGTGGAGAAGTCCGTCTGCCAGGAGGGACGCAGTCCGAAGTAGCTCTATCTGAGAGTAGCTGGTAAACTTAGGGATACCAGTAGTGCCTACACATTAAATCAGATTAGTGAGGAGGCCACACGATCAGTTGTGAGGTATTCCAGCACCACCTGTCTTCATCAGAATGCCGTCGATCTGGCAGGAGGTCATAACCGAACGTTCGGAGTCATGATAGGCCGCCCAGTACTTGGTATGATCGATCAGAGGGACGTCTTTTGGAGTTAGCTGGCCTGTAGTCACCATATCTCTGTAGAGATCGCTGTAGAACGGTGACTTCTGCTTTGCCTCGGCGATAAGTGCGTTGAGACGAGGATATTGATCATTCTTTGGTGGATGCACAACTGACATGATGTCGTTGGGGATTAAATGGCGATAGGTTCAGAAATTCTGAGAAAATAAGCCCTTCCTTTGGTAAGAGGTAGGGAGAAGTTGATTTGTAGGTGCAGCCACGATTAGTTACACAGCTAAGGTTTCTTGCCCTTCAGAAGATACAATCTACGACTTCTTTCCGAGAATCAAGTTCGAAACACAAGCAAGCGGGTGTAAAAATGTAAGTTATGGCTTTTCATGCTCCCCATCCGAGGAACCCAAACTCAACGGCCTTGAAGCTTGCATAAACCGTTTTCGTTATGCATTGTTGTACTCGGTTGTTTAAGTTCAACAGGGATCTTAACGAGCTAATCAGAACCCCTCCGATACACTGAGTTCAGCATGGTGATCTTCAGCTCTCACCCACAAGTCTAACCTATAAAAGCTCGACCATGAAGCAAAGGTTCCTTGGATCGACAGAGTGTGGTTGCAATCAGGGTTTACGCAAGTTTCGGCACGGTACGCTTGCACATATCCATACGAAAATGCCCTCGCTGACACTTACCTGGGAGCTCAGGACGGCTGCCTTGTCTGGTATGATTTCCAGGATGACGAAGCTTTCGGATTTCGGCAGTTACTCATTGAGACCACGGGATGTCGTCATTTCGATTGAAATTGCTCATATTTGGAGGGAATATCAGCTTTGGGCTGGCTAGAGTTTCTTTTGTGTGGATCGTACCAATCAGTGACTACGGAGCTTCGGCTCAGATTCAGAAGCACAGATGCCTTTCAGAGTTATTCTCGAATCAAATAAGTGTCTCTCTGATCAGCTAGGAACAAGGTAAAATATCGCTCGTACCAGGCATGACTGAGAAAAGCTTGGACTGCTTCCTTTACACTGCTTCAATGACCAAAACCCCTCAGCATCTCAGACTACGTAATATGGCAATGACCGTGCGCGCTGGAGGCCCGAGCAAAAGCCGCATTCCGCTGTGGTAACTTAATGAACGCTGCCGGTTTCTAATACGAGAAGATGAGAAAGAGAGGCTATGCATCACTGGTGCGCCTGCTGTTGAGTTGGACGATATCCAAGTGTCCGCAGGGGCCTGGTAGAGACCACCAATTATATTGAAACACAATGGCTCATGCTTGAAACAAGTTGTCTAGTGCTTCAACAACTAGCGGCTATCGGCATCACCTTGTTTAAAGTTTAAGGCGGTAGGATACTCCGATTAGCGTTGAGGGAGGCGCAGCAAACCTTTAGAGTGCCTAAAGTGCGAGATGATAGGGAGGGGGGTTCATGTTCAAGGCTTCAAGCAAACAGATCAGAGGTGGCATTCGGCTTCTTGCAAGTTGAGCACTTGAATAATCCCTCAATCGGTCTCGGCGGTGATGAGGATGTAACTCGCCAGGAAATGTCTGTACGTCAAAGTGTCACCAAATCTGAGGGAGGGGAGAAGGGTCGGCATTTCTTAGTTTATAGAGTCAATTTGTGACTTGATCCAAAGTCTATTATCTATTTTCTATCATGCATGGGTTAAAACCTGGTATTATGCCAGTTTTGCCTTCATTGGTATGAACACCTTTGTCTCTTTTTTGGCGCGTTCACGCAGTATCCGGCGCAGTATTTTGCCCGACTGTACGTAGTAATAGTTCATTAGTCTGATAGCATATAACATGTGAGGTTCAGTACACTAACCTGAGTTCGGGGAATACCATCGACAAAGACTATGCCACCATCAAGGCGCTTATGGCTTGCGACCTTACTTTCCATCCAACTCATTATATCGTGAGAAGTAAGACATGAGCCAGGGCGCCTCACGACATATGCTCTTGGGACTTCATGACCCTGAATGTCGGTACCAATAACAGCGCTGTCGATTATATCAGGATGAGTAACAAGAGTTGCTTCGAGCTCCGCGGGTGCAACCTGAAATCCCTTCACCTTGAGAATTTCTTTAGAACGGTCCACGAGGTAGATGTTAGCACCTGGTCCCCATGAGTCTACATAAGCGATGTCTCCTGTCTTGAGCCATCGTATCCCATTCTTGTCGATAACGGTCTCTCCGGTTGCTCCAGGATTCTTCCAGTATCCTGCCATGAGTGTGGGGCTGGTAAACCAGAGTTCACCCTGTTTGTTGGCCTCCGTAATCTCAGTCTCCCCATGCATCAGCTTGATAGCTGAGTTTGGTGCTATCTCACCAACAGAACCTGGAGAGCCAGGTAGACGAGGATCGTTCATGGTTCCCAGACACGTCAATTCTGTCATACCCCAACCCTGGCGAATAATGACACCATCAACTTTGAAGAGAGTGTTTGCTCTTTGTTCTAGCGACAAAGCGAGTGGCGCTGTACCGCAAATGACATTTTTCACGCTCCTGAGGCTATCGTCCACCAGTACCGAGTTCGCCACGAGCGATGAGATAATTGGTGGGGCAGTCATCAGCTCGGTGATCTGGTACTTCTCGATATGACTGAGCATGTCATTGAAGTTATACTGCCCCATGATATAGGTCTCCACGCCCATCTTGGGATAATTGGCAATGAATGTTGTCTGTGCCGCAGCATGGTTGAGTGGGAGAAAGCAGAGCGCGCGAGTACGATAAGGCCCAGACCAAGCTTCTTTCTGAAGTCGATGAAGCAAGAGATGCGCTTCACCATTGGCAACGTAGGCGAAGTGCGTCACCTCTACGCCTTTGGGTCGGCCAGTTGTACCTGAGCTAGAGTTTAGGCAACATATAGCAGTCTCAGGGTTCGGCGGTTCAAACCACTGGAAGCTTTCTGCTTCGTGATCAGGACCAAAAAGCTCAGTCCACGAATGTACGCTGCCATGAGGCCGATTTTTGCAGTGGGGACTTCGTGCGTTTTGATGAAAGATATGACTCTTTTCCAGGCCAACGATTTGTGCTGATTCGACGGCGGTTCCGATAAGATTCGTGCTGGTAATGAGAACTTTTGCACCGCTATCTTTCAACTGGTAGCTGAGTTCCAAAGCCGTGCTTGATGAAGTCGCGCCTGTATAGATGGCACCCGCCATAATGATGCCGAAGAACAGACATGGGACAAAGATTCCATTCTCGGAGAATACCAAGACACGATCTCCCGACGTGACACCAAGACGTTGAAGGCCTACTGCCAGCCGTTTTGAGTACAGCTCGAACTCCCAAATTGTCAAGGTATTGCTTGGGTCATCGGCATCCACAAACGCGATCTTTTCATTGCGTAGGCCATGCTGTTCGCTTCCAAAGACCCAGCCAGGTAGAGATATTCGAGGCGTCGGTGTAGTCCATCTTGATTGGATAGGCATTTCGATTGATATGGAACTCGAATGGGTGCAATGTGATAGATTCGTTCGATGCGGATCTTCTAAACGTGAGATAAAATGGGTGAATAGGATCGCTCTGCTTTCCTTTGCCTTCTCTATGTAGACGCTAACAAAGATCTGATGCAGGTTCAGGCCTTGCACCTATGCTAAGTTACCCTTCCACGCTTTTATCCAGGCAGGTACCCGGACATCCCAGCATGGATACCCTGGGCGTTGCTTCGGTTGGTGTGTACTTATGAAACGGACGAGCTCATGCCGAAGCCTGAATTTAAACTCCACTTAGTGATCTACATCCATTGTTTCTCTGCCGTCAGGTCAACAGGTATAGTTCTAAACAAACGCACGGGTGCTTATTTTAGTCTCGTATTTTGTACCATGCTCTCAATGGCATAATTAACTAAGTCTCATTTTTAGTTTCAGTCGCATTTTGAACTTTGAAGCCTCTTTTCAAACTTCAACACTCTGTGCATTAAAACTAATTTCAATGGACAAAGGACAGGCTGTACAACTTGCTTATCTTGCATTCGACTCCTGTTAAGTTCACACACATGTTAAAATCATCATTGAGCTCTCACCCATGGCCCCAGCCATGTGGCATGCTTCTCAGATAGACAAAAGACATGTGGCCATTCATGGCTAGGGCATCTCACTATAGCCCCGACAACACCTTTGTCTATCTTGAATATTCATGTTTGAGTCAGTTCTTGGCATGGCGCCGCAAAGATCCCCGTGCGGGAATGAAGCTATCTTGGGTTGAATGGCGGTATGCATGAAGTCCACGTGATGAGGCTGTTTTTTAGTGAGACCTTGGCGAGATCTGCGGATATATCGGCCGACGGCGAACTGCGTTGTAGACTTGAGCATGGGTAAAACGCAACATCAGCCAAACAATTCAAGAACGGTGTTGTCCTTGATGGATAGGGGCAGCAATGATCTACTGATATAATGAAATATTTAAAGGTTATGATTTAGTCCGGCGTAATTTAGAACAATTTCCCGTTCTAGAAGGATTATCCGAGGCCTTGAAAGCCCCGAGTACTGTATAGGACCCGATAGACTCGGAGCCGTGTCGCTTCTTTATCGCCGGCAATCTCGGGTCCCGGTGCTACCCCACGTGAGGATCAACCAATTCCACGCTATCTAATCTGTCGAATGCACTGTAACTTGGGCTTGTTATCGCTTGATATGACAAGTTGACAATGAAAAGGGCGCTCAAATGCGGGGTTTAGCGGTTGGATATCGTCGGCTCGGCCTGCCAATAGCGGCATAGGATAAGCCGACGGGCGATACTGACCCCAACCCCACATGACCTGAATGACTTGGAGAATGTAATCAGTTGACATTCTTTCAACTTAACCCTTCTTTCATTCATACTTCTTCTTTAATCTTACAGACTATAGTTTGTGCCCCTTTTCCCTAGCACCCTTACTCATACACCACTAACAACTGATAAGATAAACTTAGACATCATGGCATCTTATAAAGAAACAGTATCAGCTGCCTTGCAACAGCGCGATATCGGCCTCAACAAGGTTGAACCAAAGCTCCAGGGCATCCCCGATGAGCTTCCTCTTAGCTCTCAAAGCCTTCCTCAAGGTGTCTTGACTGCACGTGAGATTGAGATCACAGAAAAGTATTCAGTGATCGAGCTGCTCGATGTCCTCCGTAAGCGAGAGATCAAGGTTGAGGAGGTGACGCGTGCATTCTTGCGGAGAGCTGCACTCGCTCAGGTCGCTGTAAGTCATTTCCCATCTACACCAAACACGGTGCTAACAGATCGAGTAGACCAATTGCTTAGTTGAACTTATGTGGGATCAAGCCATTGAGCGAGCCAAGTATCTCGATTCACTACCGGAACCCAAGGGAAAGCTCTTTGGTCTTCCCATTTCTACCAAGGAACATCATGGCATGGTCGGCGAGAATGTCTCAACTCACGCCTCATTCGTTGCATGGATCGGCAAAGCTCATGGTTCTAACCTTTTATATGACCACTTGTATGACGAAGGCTGCGTCTTCTATGTGCGGACTACTCAACCTCAAACTATTATGCATCTTGAGACCATCAGCAATATTTATGGACGAACAGTCAACCCTTACAACCGTGATTTGACGGCTGGCGGCAGCAGTGGTGGCGAGGGAGCTTTGCTCGGCTTCCGTGGAAGCATCTTGGTATGTGTAATCTTTTCCAGGACATGAGCTTCGACTAACCTGAATAGGGTATTGGCGGTGATATCGGAGGCAGTGTTCGATGTCCAGCTGCCCACAACGGAATCTATGCCTTCAAGTGAGTTACCATGGTGGACAGGCAGATCGGTATCTTTGCTAAACCCGTATAGGCCAACTCTCAAGCGGATTTCAGTCATGGGTGCGCGTTCGATCATGGCAGGCAAGGAGACCATTTCCTCAACACCTGGCCCGATGACGGTCGACCGCGAGTCCCTGGAACTGTTTATGGAAATTGCCGTATCAAAGAAGCCATGGCTTATTGATCCTTCCCTTACAGTCAAGCCATGGACACCTTACAAATTCGACAGACCTCTGAAGGTTGCGGTTCAGTGGTGGGACGGTGTTGTCCAGCCCCATCCTCCCATGACAAGAGCTCTGAAGGAAGTTGCAGAAGCTTGCCGCAAGGCTGGTATGGAAGTTGTAGACTGGGACTGTGAGCCTTTGGACCATAAGAAGGGATGGGAGATTCTCTCGGCATTGTACTGGCCCGATGGAGGCAAGGAGGCTCTTGAGCTCATGGAGGCCGCTGGAGAGCCTGTTCTTCCTTTGACAAAGTTCATTATACAAGAACAGCCCAGTGTGAAGGATTTGACGATGCATGAGCTCTGGGAGGTAAGTTGACTTGGCATGGTTGATTTGGCAGTACTGACAGCTTTCTAGCTGTGCACCAAGCGTGATGATTATCGGGCCGCATATGCTCGAGCGTGGTCATACACGAGCAAGAACGATGGAAGAGAGGTTGATGTGATCCTGTGCCCGCCATTCCCTGGAGCCGCAGCACCTCACGATCAGTCGCGATACTGGGGCTACACTTCGCACTGGAACCTGCTTGACTAGTAAGTTATCCTAGTGACATTCCCCCAGACTCCGCTGACAGTAATATCTAGTCCCGCTGCAGTCTTCCCAGTAACAACAGTCGATCCTCAGAAAGACCCCAAGGATGTAGACTACGTCCCAAAGAACGAGGATGACAAGTTCAACTATGATTTGTACAGTCCCGAGAAATACGCCGGTATGCCTATCAACCTGCAAATTGTTGGACGAAGGCAGTATGATGAGAAGGTACTTGCTGCGCTTAGAGAGATTGAGCACGCTATGGGTAGGAAGTGAGTGGATGCTGGTCACTATTCTAAATGTCTTGTCTGAGAGGCGGCTGGCATGAAACTCCGCAACTCCACCACCCTAGAGTCGGAGCAACCATTGCCCCGATAACGATTCAAGGGTAACCACATGTCGTGGAAAGTAGCGGAAAGCAGTGACGCGACATCAGTTCGATAGTTGGGTAATACACCATAGATCATATAAAGACACAAGACTACTGAATCATCCTTACTTTAGACTGTTTCTGAGGGAAGGATTGGGTTTTTGGCAGCGTCACCTCCAATGATTCCATCTCTATATTCGCGTGCCCTAAAGTAAACGAGACCAATGGCCTAGAACTGTTCGTTTATTCTGTTCTGTTTCCTCTTCAAGATCTGAGGAAGTTGTCTGCCCAACGATTTGACGCAAAAAGGTTCGGGGAATGGTGATGTCCCGGTTATAACATCGGAGTTCCACTGATCCAATCACAAGGCTTGAAAAAGATCGCTCGCTCTCAGGTATGATGACCAACCATTTGAGGCGGCGCAACTGATCGGCCGTGTTATGCGAGTGCGAAATCGAAATTAATCGCAGAGCGTGAAGGGAAGTAAAAGCCATGGAGCAAACATATCATATAAATAGATTCATCCTGTTACACCACTTTCATGAGCCATAATCAACCTCTTCGTTCGTCATCACCCCTTGGCTTAAACATCGTGTAACACCAAAGTTTTACCATGTCTGACAAGCGCACCATCTTGATAACAGGCTGCTCGGACGGCAGTCTTGGCTCTGCCCTGGCACTGGCAATGAAAGACCGTGGATGGCGTGTCTTCCCCTCTGGACGTAACCTAGCCAAGCTGGGTAAAGTCAAAGAAGCCGGTCTCGAATGCATCGAAATGGATGTTGGCTCAAATGAATCCGTCTCTGCAGCTGTTGAGAAAGTCAAGCAAATGACAGGCGGCTCATTGGATGCATTGCTTAACAATGCGGGCAGCGGCTACAGTATGCCCCTTATACATGTTGACATCACCAAAAGCCACGAATTGTTTGAACTCAATGTCTTTTCTATCATCAGGGTCACCCAAGCCTTCGTTCCTCTGCTTCTCAAGTCTACCCACGGCGCTCTACTTATCAACAACACCTCTGCATCGGGTCTTCTTGGAGCTGGTATCCCATTCCAAGGGACTTATGCAGCATCCAAGGCAGCTGCAGCCAGCGTGACTGAGAGTTTCAGAGTCGAACTCGCCCCCTTTGGCATCCGAGCCATCAACCTGGCCACCGGCGGCGTCAAATCCACTTTTCACAACAATTCACCGGATGCTGAACTTCCCAAGGACTCGATATACAACGTCGCTAAGGAGACTATCGAATCTTCCATGAATGGCAATGAAGCAGGGATGAGCAAACCTGATGCGGCGACCTGGGCGAAACAAGTCGCTGGAGATTTGAGTCAACGCAAACCACCTTTTTTGATATCTCGAGGCGGTAGTGCTCGTTTAGCTCGCATAGGTACTCTCTTCCCGACGGGCACCTTTGACTCGACTGTCAAACAACTTGGTGGCATAGACGTGTTGGAGAGAAAGCTAAAAGAGGCAAAGTCGACTGCAAAGCCTCAGTGATCGTAGGAATGGAATAATAATAGTGGTATCAATAGGGCTTTTTATTTTGTATGTTCGGGCATTGTGTCATCTCCTATATCAAACGTTGTGTGATCAGTGACGATTCACGTGATGCGATGGTGACATAGATGTTGGACATGACGAATATGATGAATGATCTCAGCATATGGCGTGTTGCGATAAGGAATATGAACTCAATCACCAGTCGTTTCAGTTTTTTAGATTTCAAGAACTTATCTTTGGCATAATAATAACATTATCGATTTCGGAAATTCATTATGGGAGATTATAACGTCAAGTCTGTTGCGGTTGTTGGAGCCGGAGCTGCCGGTGATTCTTTACCCTTTCACCCCGCTTGACGATTTATGGAAGAGCTAATCGTCTGTCTTGGCAGGTGCTATTTCCGCAGCAGCTTTAAAGGCAGAGAATTACTTCGACCGGATTCGAGTGTTTGAACGGAAGGAGACCCCTGGGGGCACTTGGTAAGGACAGAGCAATCGGGACGCACAGGATTTAGACTCAAAGATGCTAGGATTTACGATGCCGACCCAACAGTCGTTCCTATTCAGCCTGGGGGCTTCCCAGAAGATATTGATAAGCCACTTCCGGTTCCAGAGAACCTACCGACCACGACGCCTCCGAATCAGCAAGAGAGATATGCCCATACGCCTATCTATCAAAATTTGACGCAAGTCGCCCATTCTATTATTCAAATCCCTGGCTAATAATAATAGAACTAATGTGCCTCAAATCGCAATGTCCTTCTCGGACCAGCCGTTCTCCTATGGGCCATTCGTTCCACATTATATTCCTCGCCAGTACATCGAAACATATTTCTCCACCCAAAAGACTGACGAATACCTGTCTCTCAACACTACAGTCGAAGATATCTCCCAGCTCCCTGCCGCTACAAGAGGAGGACTGAAGCCTTGGAGGTTAACGTTACGGAAATATGACCCTCTGCGACACGTCGATGTATGGTGGCAAGAAGACTTTGACGCCGTTATACTTGCCAACGGGCACTATGCTATTCCTTGGGTAGGTTCACTGACATATAGCAACGTAATTGCCTGTTGACTGTTGAGACTAGGTTCCGCATGTCCAAGGCTTGGAGGCATATATGGACAAGTTCCCTGGCAGAGTAATACACTCCAAATTCTATCGCTCACCCTGGTTATATGCCAAGAAAAGAGTCCTCGTTATTGGAAACTCCGCCTCTGGTCACGATATTGCAGTGGATCTTCTACAGTCTGTCCAGCAACCGCTCTACCAGTCACGACGATCGCGAGGGAGGTTGGATGGCGATGAACCTCCCCTGGGAATGGAGTGGAAGACAGTCATCAAAGAGTATCGACTGGATGGTACAATCGTGTTCGATGATGGCAGCGAACTCAAAGACATTGATCACATTATTTACTGTACAGGATATCTTCCATCTTATCCATTTTGGAACAGCAAAGTAAATGGTCGACCACTATTTGACTACAAGAAAAGAAAGCTCATCAACAACTATTGGCATACCTTCTTCCAGGACATCCCCAACTTGGCAGTAGTCGGTATGCCTCGCGTCTTGACGTTTCGAAGCTTCGAATATCAAGCCGTCGCACTTGCACGACTCTTCTCTGGGAGAAACTCGATTCCTCTTCCACCAAAGGAGGAACAAAAGAAATGGGAACTTGACAGGGAGAAACTCTGTAGACAGCAGGGAAGAAAGTTTCACGAGATAGAGTGGGAGACTGGTGAGACTTTCGGCTGGCTGGAGGGGTTCTTCAAGATCGCGGGTCTGGGAACATTATCCGGGGAAGGCAGAATACCTCCTGTGTTGAGCAAGGACCTTATCTGGGCCATCGAGCATGTGAGAAAATACCCAGATCCGGGTAAGGATGATCACGACAAGAAGAGGGAAGGGTCGCAAAGTGAACATGATGGTTGGGATTTGGTTGAAAGCACTCATAAGGATCTTTTGTCCTTCATCTAGATACGAATTATGCCATATACACAAGTGAGGCTGTTCTACTACTTCACGTAGAATTATTCCATCTTTCCTCCCCTTCAGCACTGTGCGGTGACCAACAAAGGACCCGGAGAAAGTCCTTCTCATCTCGAGTCGCCCATCTTTGCTGCCTCTCACAGTCAAGCTCATCTATGTCGTCTTCGTTAACAGCTCCATTGCCATAGGCAAACGTGTCCATCCAAGCTAGGTCAGCCTGGGACTCACGCCAACTGACGTGAAAGTTATAGGCAGCACGCCGGAGACGGCTACTATTGCAGAATACTATCGGCCTCGTTCTTTGTCCAAATATAACAGCCGGTAGTAGCTTGATTCTGTTCTCGGGGTCCCACTTGCCACGCAATTCCTGTCGATATTTCCAGTCCTGTTCTAGACTCCTCTTGAACCTCATGGCGCTTTTGCGATGAAATTCGTCCTCACGAACCGCGGAGTCTCCGAGCATCAGAGCGATATGGGCTTTGTAGGCTGATGTGAGATATTCTACCAACTTCTTGTCGTCAAGCGGGACGACGGCTGACTCTGACTCCGTGCAGGGATAGTAATCTGGATCGTCGCCTTTGCTGTACTCCGTGGGAATACTAACGATCCCAAGGTAAACGGTTTCGATACCCTTGTACTCGGGATCATGGGTGAGGCACTTTTGCAAGGCTGTAAGTGCTTCTGGAGTAGGTACCACGCAAGCAATAGCCTGAATGCTGGTTGGCAAATTGGTGATGCGTCCACATGTCAGTGCAGCGATCGGTACGTATAAAGTTGTAATGCTATTGTCGACCCAAACGTAATGGTATCTCTTGTCGAAAAGTTCTCGGAGTGTTTTGCAGATTAGTCGATACTTTTTGTCCTTGACAGTTATGTACGATCCGCTCTTCATTGCCACAGCACGAGAATCGTAGCATACCTCCAGGAGGGGTCGAGGTCCATCTGTCCCCTTTGGCTTTTCAAACCGCAGACCACGTAAGAAAGCGTCATGGAAAATCTTGCAGGCTGCATGTGTGTCCTTTTTCTTCGGAACAGCTTTTTCCCAAATCATCAGTCGAAGCTCTGGCGGTAAGTCATTGAAGCTCTCGAGATCACTTGATATGGATCGACCCATGGTGACAGGAGGTGATATTCGAGTATATAGCTCTGAGAAGGGAGACTTAGTGCTGCTGCGAGGAGTGACGCGGGACTTTGGTAAAGTTATGATGCCAGCTTTGTGTGATGATAGTACAAGAGAATAAGATCGGACTGAGGGTGGGGGTTGGGTTTTTATGTAAGACATCTTCTGCTAATTTTTCTTCTAACTTTTAAACGCAGAACCTTCAAACACGCGGTGGGTCCTGATCTGCATCTTCTGTTTGCTGTGAGGGCCTTTAGGCTGCAGAGTTCTGGTAAGTGGACTCAAGGTTTGAGAACCAAACTTACGCGATATCATCAAAATGTCAGCCAGCTGTGTTATTTGCAGTCGAGACTTATGGACGAGAGCTTAAATCAACACAGAGAACTTACTTACGCGGTGACACTAGGGAACTGGGAGATATAGATGAGTCAGGTTTCCATTATATGTTTCGGTAGCTACGAGGTTCTGGGCCGACGAGGGCGTCAAGCTTGTCGTGTACCGGTACATCAGACAGCCACCTAAACGATTCTTTCCAAACTCCTTCAATCAAAGTTTTCAGTTTCGGAAGCCCACTTTACAGTGATTTTGGCCTCATATAGTGAAGCAACCATCATTACTGTATCCCATATCCTGACAGACAAGCGCCTCTTCCATCCGCCAAATCCTCCAGCCATAGCCTCTGTATGCGTCTTCATGGTAAAGGCCCTGTGACCACAATTATTAGCCTACTGAACTAAACAAAAATTGATTACGTACCGCTATTTTGAAGATCCTGAACAATGGGTATATTGTTATAGTCTAGCGCCAAAGGGCACTCGATATGGCTTGAACTGAGTCTTGTTTCTGCGGTCTTGGACAAGCTGAAGAACCGGGGAGAGATTTTCGCAGGAGCAAGCCCAGTCGGAGTAGAAATTTACTCGCAGGTGTAACACAAATGCTTCGTGAGAGTGGACTGCCTGTCTTCTCGGGGGTGTTCGCAAGAAACGAGGGTCGTGGTTCGAAAAGTCCTGGCTTGAGGACAGGGTAGAGAGATGGAGACCTTTCCGTATCTTCCTGTATGGTATTTGACTCGAAAAGATAAAATGGAGGAAGGCAAGATATGAGATGTCAAGGGAGCGAGCACATTTATAGGTATCGAGGATTCCCCATACAAGAGCGACTTCCAGGCATGCTTTGGTGCTCTCGCTTGTTAGGTTTCGATAAAGTATGCAGCACTAGTAACGATATTCAAATAATGGTCCAGAATCGAGCATTTATGAATATTTTCTAGGTTATAAGTATGTTTTTATTATGATAGAAACTCAAATATTACTTCTAAGAGTACCCAGTCTTGCCTCTAACCAACTCTAACCTTTATTTATCAGACTTCAGTTATTTCTCAAATGCAAACTCTAATTTTGCTTAGCATCTCGTATGCTAAGGTCAAGGCTCTTGAATTATCTCTTAGCTTTCTACTCACGAAAGCTTAGGGCAGGCAGTAAAATGTACGAAGTGAAGCTATTGTACCAGAACCAAACCCTTATAGAATACCATACCACAGCCAAATTAAAAGATCTATATAGTATTATCCTTATAAGTCTATATGGTGATAACTTCAGATTGTTCTAATATCACACCGATTATATATGCCATCATGAAGTAAAGAGATGACGTTGTGGGATCATTAATTAGAAAGGCAGGCTATCATTTCCATGATGGATATTCCCAATAGTCAATTTCTGTATACTCTTCGCGCAAGTATTCCTTTCACCAGACCAATTATCTATCTACAGTGCCTTCTGCGTCATGGGTTGATTCGCTGAAAAGGGGTTATGACATTTCAACGCGATAAAACGCAGACATGGACATGGCCATCATTACAAGATGTATTCTTCCTCAGACTGTGCAAAAGCCTAGACTACTGATTATAGTGGTCAGCCAACCAAAAACCAGAATCAAGGGTGACCAGGAAATAACCAACATTGTCGATCTGGCCCCTAACTATTCCTCAGACCATCTGGGCCATATGATACAAATACCCCCAAACCTCGGAGATGAAACATGGACTCTCCTCGCATCCCTGTTTTCCTTGTAGTTACTGGCAAGGTATTTATTAGCAGGTCTTCGGCAGTAAATGATTCAGACGGTTGAAAGACGTACATAGGAAGTTGATCATCAAGGCCAAAGTATAACGTATCAATACGAGCAACAAAATCATTTCGCCATTTCTCGATGTATTTTCCGGCAGTCTTTTCACTAAGAGGGCTGTAGGTATTACCGATCGTGTCGGCTAGGGTTGTGACATTCGGTGGAAGACGGATGATCCTGTCGAGAAAGACCGGTTCGAAAGGGATGGAGACAATCTCGACATTGTGATCTATCCAGACAAGCCTTGGCGGTCCTTGGACCGGTTGAAGTCTCCTTAATGGTACGAAAATTCCATTCTTCTCAGCAAGGTGACGTGATTCGTGACAGCAGGCTAGGAGACACATATTTGCTATCGCTCGAGGTGTAGTTGTAGGTTTGTCTCCCCAAATCTCGAGTATCTTTGACCGAGGATGTACCTCTTCAGGTATGGCGGCTTCCCATATCATCAGGCGTATTTCGGTAGGTAGTTCGGAGAAGAGAGTGAAGCTGCCATTCCAGAATATGACAAGGCGTGTCATCTCGGCTGTAGATCAATTCGATATTGATAAGTGAGAAGTGTGCACAAACTTCCACGATTGGTGGTGATCTTTTATTTCCCGGGGTGATGTATCTGGATAGGCATAACATTCTATTCAATGAATTTACCTTACAGGCGGAGGGCATTGTATTTTATAATCGTCCCAGGTGGCGAACTTTCCAGGGCGCATGTCGATTAACGAAAGTCAAAGAAAGGCTTCTTGAGAAAGGTTCATGCCCCAAAGCGTAACAAATCAGCACGTTGGAAAGTCCTCAACTGTAAAGCATATACTTGATTAGGTTCTGACACACAAAATCCTCACTTGAAGGAAAAGTAGCAGGTGTCTTTCTTATGTGTTGCATCATAAGTGTGCTAAATTGTGTACAGGCTCCAGGCCTGCTCGGCCTGGCATGATTGAAAGACCAAAAGCCCGATGGACTTTTGTATCATGGCCACATTTCCAAGCGTTTCGTCTTCCGGTACTACGAAGTATAAGGTCACGACAAGTCAAGGCCAACGTAAACTTTCTGTGGCGGCATCTTGTTCCCTCTTACTCGAGCAATAAAGCTGAACATTCATGTACAAGGCTTGTGAGGGTCGGTGCCATCAAATCAGATGTTATGAATATTAAGTATAGATTTAAAATTACATAATCGTGAATATCATTAATTGTTGTAAATGGACAGAATGTCAGTAGAGTTATTGTACTCCACTCCACACTTTTCAGAGAAGCCAGTAAACTTTTCGACTCTGTCCTGCACGTACTCCTCGAAACTCTTTCGGGTGCAGCTTGTTCCGGGTCCGTCTTCGCATGAAGGTAGAGCCTGGGGCGCACTGTTAACCAGAACGCGATAGTACTCTCCATCTTCATAGCCGTAGGTGTTGGTGCAGTTGAGGCGCTCGATGGCGATGTTGCTCAGGAAGGGCAGCACGTGAGAACTCTTCCAGGCGCGACGGTAGTTGATCTTGCTCAGAGGCATGGTGTCGTTGATCTGAGACTCCGTACCGGCGGGTTCGGAGTTGTTGAAGAGGCCCATTGCGACGAGGACCATGGGAGGCAGTTCACGGTGGGTGAAGCTGACATAAAGCTCCTCATCGGAATCATCGCCAAGGAGGAGGCCAGCTGTAGTGTTGAGCCAGGGCATACCGACATAACCAGAGATCGGGTTGCCGTAGCCAGCGTTGTAATGGTATCGCACGTCCTCAGAGTACTCCCAGCCAAGC